TCCACAAGCCTGCAAACCCAGAGCCTTCCTTTGGTGATCTGCACCAGCCTTTATAAAGCAGCAGAGGAAGCACCAATGGCTGCACTGGAAGAAGCTGGGAGCTTTAAAGCAGTTACCTTTCAGCTATAGAGTCAGTGGGGGCTGAACACACACCTGAGCTGCATGAATAAAGAGTAACAAACACTGAACACAGAATAGAAGATAAAAGTGATTTGATCAGATGATTTTTTAATCACTGTTAACAGACACCTGAAACACAAGTTGGGGCCTTTGCAGAGGAGCCACCCTCACCTATAAACTCTCCTAGCTACTTAAAGCTGGCCAACTGACAGTGGGCATGGAGCTATGGCTCTGCATATATGTGGATACTGAAACAGAAAAGATGCCAGGTGCTTCTCTTATGGAGCCTGGCTGAGAGAGCTGGGATTGTTCAGCCTTGAGAAGAAAAGGCTCCTTAAAGGGACACCTCAGAGCAGCTCCAGTGCCTAAAGGGGCTATAAGAAACCTGGAGAGGGGCTTTGGACAAGGGCCTGTAAGGACAGGCCAAGGGGAATGGCTTTAACCTGCCAGAGGGGAGACTGAGATGAGCTCTTAGGCAGAAGCTCTTCCCTGTGAGGGTGCTGAGGCGCTGGCACAGGGTGCCCAGAGAAGCTGTGGCTGCCCCATCGCTGGCAGTGTTCAAGGCCAGGTTGGACACAGGGGCTTGGAGCAAGCTGCTCTAGTGGAAGGTGTTCCTGCCCGTGGCAGGGGTTGGAACGGGATGGGCTTTAAGGTCCCTTCCAACCCAAACCACACTGATTCTGTGCCTGTTTCACAAGGGCTCTGTAGTGTATTGTCATCCTCATCTCTGCAGATGCATGAGGGCAAAAACCCAGGCACTTCATCCCACGGGCACATTTCCTCCTGGCATCGCATATTCCCTCCTCTTCATGTCGTTCTGTGAGGACCGAACGCTCCCCGTTACAGCTGCTCGGTACCACAGCCTCCCCACCCGTCACTCTTAGCACCCACGGCCGGACCCACCGGGTCAAATCGGGGCAGGGCTGTGAGGGGCCGGGAGCCGCAGGCGCAAGGGAGGCCGCGGCGGGGAAGGCAAGGTCACGTCCTTCCCGCCCGCCGCCGAGCGGGCCCGGGCGCTGCGACACCCCGGAACCGGACGGCTGAGAGCCGCTGCCGAGCCCCGCCGCTCCTCCGGGCTGCGGCCACTGCTCACCGGCGCTGCCGAGCCCCGGGCCGGTGGGACCGCCGGCACCAGGCCTGGCACCGGCCACCGCATCCCCGCCGTGCAGCGCGGCGGGCGCCACTCGGCCCGGCCCGCCTCCTACCCGCAAGGCCGCAGCCGGTAGGCGGCCCACGGCGGACTACCAGGACCGGCATGCTTTGCGGGCAGAGCGCCCCTCCACCCCACGCACTTGTGCCGCAAGGCACGCCGGGACTCGTAGTACACACGGCTTACCAGAGCCAAACCCCCACCCCTCCAGGCAGCCTATTGGCTCTCGCGGCCGCCCCTCAAAGCCGAGCAGCCAATCACAGCCCACGCGTGCGGAGTCATTCAGAGCAGACCGAGCCGCGATTAGAGGACGCGCCTCATGTCCCCCCCCCGCCCCGCGGGCAGGCCCAGCCCGGCCGGTCCCGTAAGGCGGGCGGCCAGGCCTCATCGCCCGGAGGGCTTCCCCAAAGCTGCGCGCCTCCCGCCTCACCTGCGCTGCCACGGCGACGCCCGCCCGGTGACACGCCCGCAGCATGGCCTCGGAGCCGGCGGCGGCCGGGGCGGGCAGCAGGAAGGCGCTGAGCGCGGTGACTGGCAGCGCCTCCAGCCCCCCCCTTCCGCACCGCGAGGTTCAGGCTTCCGGTGCGGCGGGGGCGTGACCGCGCGTTGCGGAGAGTGACGTGAGGCGTGTCCAATCAGAGCGGAGGGAGCGGGCCGTGTGCAAATGTCACTGCCGTAGCGCGGGGACATGGCGGCGGCGGCGGCGCGCCGGGCACTGGCGGGTGGGTGTTGAGGGGAGGCGGGCGGCCATGTTGGATCGGGAGGGGGGCTGTGGAGTGGCGGTACCGCGATCGCGGGGTGTCCGCTGAGGGTGTGTGGTTCTCCGCAGGGATCCTGGGGCGCTGGGCACCCCTGGCCGCCCGTAGCACCGGCCTCGTCGCCCGCTGCTGCGTCAGGCAGGTGCGGGCACCGGCGGCGGCCCCGCTGTGGAGACCGCGGCCACTGCTGTGGGGGAGCGTGCCTGGGGGTGGCACGGCGTCGGTGCTCAGCAGGTATGGGCCGTGCGGGAGCGGGGAGAAGGGCTTCGGAGGGGGCTTGTGGTAACTGCTGGGTCCGACAGGCTGCTTGGGGTGGTGTCTGCGATAACGGGACTCTGTTAGACCGAGGTCTCCCGGTTCTGCTGCGAACAGCGATTGACGCAAGATGTGAACGGAATAGACTTCGCAGATGTAGGTTTTGCAGATAGCCCTCTTATAATCGGCACTGATTGTTTCGCTGATGATTCATGGAATGAGTAAGGTTGGAAAGGACCTTAAGATCATCCAGTTCCAACCCCCTGCCATGGGCAGGGACACCTCACACTGAACCATGTCACCCAAGGCTCTGTCCAGCCTGGCCTTGAACACTGCCAAGGATGGAGCGTTTGCCACTTCTTTGGGCAACCCATTCCAGTGCCTCACCACCCTCACAGTAAAGAACTTCCTCCTTATATCTAACCTGAACTTCCCGTATTTAATTCTCCCAGAATGCCAGTAGCAGCTGAATGTTTGCTCTTGAGCATCTCACCACTTTCAGTAGATGAAAAAAGCTTTTCAGCATGAAATAATAACGTAAGAAATGAATTTTGACACAAGTTAAGCACCACAGCACGTAAAAGCACTTCTTCGGTTCTGTGCTTCGTGTTAGGTGAACTCTTGTGAACCTTCAGACAAGTCACAGCCATTTCTCATTGCACGAGAGACAGTGATTGCTTTTGGAAAAAGATATTTCATTCCTCTTCTGTTTTCTTCCCTGGTTTGGGGGTGTTTTTAGTGTCACATCTCTCCTTCCAAGTATCCTGCATCAGCCAGCGAGGACTGTCACCTACACCAGCATAAAGCGTGGAAAGAGGAAGACGGTGAAAGCCGTCATTGCTCGGTTTCTCCGGCTGCACAATGGCCTTTGGGTTAGGAGACAGGTAAGGCTTTGGTAATATAAGTGTGTTCTTTGTACAAGGGCATGCAGTGACGGGACAAAGGGAATGGCTTTAGCTGACAGAGGGGAGATTTGGATTGGATGTTAGAAAGGAATTCTTCCCTGTGAGGGTGCTGAGGTGCTGGCACAGGGTGCCCAGAGAGGCTGTGGCTGCCCCATCCCTGGCAGTGTTCAAGGCCAGGTTGGAAACAGGGGCTTGGAGCAAGCTGCTCTAGTGGAAGGGGTCCCTGCCCGTGGCAGGGGTTGGAACTGGATGAGCTTTAGGGTCCCTTTCAACCCAAACCCTTTTGGGATTCTAAGATTATTTACAATCAGTGGGCTGATTGTTTTCCTTCCAGTAGAGGGCAGTAGCTAGTGTGTAAACAGGGGAAGTTTAAACTGGATATAAGGAAGAAATTCTTTAAGGGTGATGAGGCACTGGAATGGGTTGCCCAGGGAAGTTGTGAATGCTCCATCCCTGGCAGTGTTCAGGGCCAGGCTGGACAGAGCCTTGGGTGGCATGGTTTAGCGTGAGGTGTCCCTGCCCATGGCAGGGGGTTGGAACTGGATGATCTTAAGGTCCTTTCCAGCCATAACATATTTCCAAAAGAGGGGAATTTCCCTGCTTTGGTTATCAGTACATCTCTCTCTGTGTGTTTGTAGTAACTGAAAATTCTTGCATGTTTTCTTCTGCCAGGCTGGTTATAAGAAGAAACTGTGGAAGAAATCAGCTTCCCAAAGGAAGCGTTTGAGAGACTTCGTGTTATGCACTAAAACACAGTGTAAACTCCTCGATAAAATGACCACTTCCTTCTGGAAAAGAAGAAATTGGTATGTGGATGATCCCTACCAGAAGTACCATGACCGCACGAATCTTCGTGGTTAGGAATCTTGGATTCACTTTTGCACCTGTCTAGGAAAGGAAGTGGTGCTTATGGTATGGTCTTAATTTTTGACATATGCATGTCACATCATCAGAACTGTGGGTATGAGCACCCCGAATAAAGGAATATTCAGGATGTATCTTCCAGTGCACTTTGTGTTTTACTTAGCAGAGTTCAGGCTGGCCTCCTGCATGTTATGATGACTGTTGTTCTCCTGTGGTTGTGTGTAACATGGATGAATACAGTCTAAAACAGCACTAAAAGTGAATAAAGCAACATATTTAATCTCAAATCTTTTAAGAGAAACATGTTTAAATAACCCCAGGGCATATTTTGCCGTGTCCATACTTGTTAGTAGCTTGCCGAATGGAGTCTCTTTGGGAAGGGGGAGAGTAGGGTCCCACTCGGTATTGTTGCTGTCATGGAACCAGGTAAACTGTTGCTAGGTCTCTGTTAAATAGCACAGCAAAGCCCCCGTGTGGTGGCTATGTACAGTTTTAATGACTGATTAAAAAAATGCATTATCCACTAAATTTCATTAGAGGATGACACTTTGTATCTTGTGTTATGTTTTGAGTACGATAATACACGCTGTGGGTCCTACACTGTATTGTCACACAGTCAGTGCTGAGTTTCTTCTTTTTTCTCCTTTCTTTTTTGCTAATTATACATAGCAGTGTGTATCCCTATGGGACAACAACAAGGGTTTACTACAGGGTCCTTAGGGAGTGTGCAGCCAGTCTCTGGTTTCACTAAGGGCTACCTCAGAGGGTTTCTCTACAAAGCTGGTTCTCCAGCAGGTATGTGAACAGCAGCTGCTTCTAAAGGTTCTAATAACTAATAATTAACCCAGCATTAAGCAGATGATAGTCCCTGGTGACAGCTCCAGAGCCACCTGCACAGCAAGAGTTTGCTGAAGGAGGCTGTAGCATTTCAATGAACTGACTACTTACTCAGAGTGTTCAGTAGCTGTATTTTTTTTTTTCCAGTTCGTAATACAGAAAGAGGTTCTGAAGGACATGCAGCACTTAGTGAATACATCTATATACAGTCAGCCAGAACTGAGATAAAAATCATACAGCGACCAAAGTGATTCTTCTGGCCTGCCAGATACATTGAACAGACTAAAGATGGGGTTTGGGGGGTTTTCCTTTCTTTTTTTAAGGAAAAGATTAAGACTTTATTCAAGATGTGTATCAAGCAGTACAACAAACCCAGCCAAACATCAAACCTTTGGAATACTGTTGTCATGGCCATCCTTGTGAGGCGTTGAGTGCACCATCGCATCCCAGCTCTTTTCTACCCAGCACAGGAAGGAAACCACACAAAGTGCACGATGAGCATCCTTAGGACAGTTTGTCTAAGGGCAAATCCCAACGCAGAGCTCTCTCCTACTGCAAATATGATGCACAATGAGTACCTGAAACAAACAGCAAAGGAGACTGGGAGCAACGAGCATCCGGTCACAGGAACGAGGGCTTCGCCACCGCGTGAGAACACTTGAGGAGCAGTCAGAGGTGGCAGGTTGTTACATGAGGTTCGGGAATGTCAGGTCTCTCCATGCAGCTTTCTCCCTCTTACCAGGAATAAAGAACCTGATTCTGCTTTCCTTTTGTGCTGGGGTTGCACTTGCACAGTTCAGATGAGGTGACAGGATACATGTGACATCTGTCTTGTTGCTATTTGGTGTCATCCTGACTCGGCAACTACTGTAACTGCACTGGCACTGCCCTTCTGACAAGGAAGGAGGCATTGGAGGACAGCATTGAGCTGCTCTAGGCTTGTTCTCCTAACTGAGGTGAATTTATGGTGAGATAATCCACAGGCCCATCTTCAGCTGCAGTTTTCTTCCCCTCAGCATCGATTTTAGTTGCTCCAAACAACACAGGTTTCACTGGCACCTCATGCCAGGCAAAGGCTCTGTTTTCTAGCAGTGGCCTGATTTCTTCAGGCCACCACTGAGAAGCCTGTCTGCCCTACAGGGCTGCTCAGAGAGGCCCCAAACTGTGTTTTTCTTCCTTAAGCCAGATCTGTTGCTAGTTTAAACCATCAACTTAGAGATTTCTTGCTCTTAGGAGTGAGCAGCAAGCAGTTAGCTGAGCCGGAGCTGGTGTGGGGGGAACTGAGATTGCTCCCCCAAACACACCTCAGAAGCCACCATCCACGTGTCCTCTCTTTGCTCCCAACCTCTGGTTCAGGCAGGGACATGACTCGCTGAATCAGGCTTGTTCCTTGGCATAGGCAAAGAGCAAAACCAGAACCAAAGCCTTCATGTCTGGTGTTTATTCCAGTGACCACTAGTAACCAGAAGAGAGAAATGCCAGACTTGGGGCACCACCTGTAAACAACCTGTGTGAGGAAGATGAGGGATTGGAAGCGAATGGCCGCTCTCTGTACACACAACACTACAGCACGACGTGTATGTGGGTGAGCATCCACATTTCTTTCCTATCTATACACAAATATACAGCTCAGTTGATAAATTAATACATTTTTGCCAGAGATATGAAAAGGTTTATTTTTCTCATTTATACAGTGAATGTTTTGAGAGATATAAGGCAACTCCCTTGTCAACAACTTCACCTCAGCACTTAAGAAATGCTAAACAGTCAAAGGTTACAGTAAAACAGCAGATTAGACGCACATCTAATAATTGTAGTGAGAATCAATGCTCCTACAGCATGTCTGAGAGTAGAATTCATCAGATGTTACATAGCTCTATGTTACTGGGGGGGGGGGGGGGGGTGGCATCGAGTGCAAACTTGTCAGCTGCTGATTTATCTTATGACAGCCCATTGCGTAGCAGGGAAACACAGCTCGCTTGCAGGATTCTATCTTCTGCTAACACTGCAGGCAGGGTTTCTTGTTTCTTATTAATGTTTGCCAAAAGGAATCAAATAAACTCTAAAGCTGCTTAAAAACAAAATGCACAAGCTTAGCTCCTCCAAGCTTTTGCTGAGTATCTTCCAAGGACTGGCTCTTCTGTAACTGCTATTTAGACAGGTTGGTTTTAATTTACTTTCTCAAGTCTTTTTCCTTCCTACCCATTGCAAAATACAATTAAATTAGCATATGTAAAGGAAATAAAATGCTCAGGTAATGAGGCCAAATACTGTGGCAGGCACAGGAAATACCTACTCACTGTTTCTGCTTCCCAGCTAAGCCAGATACACATTTGTGCGTCTGCACACAGTTTATTTCTCTCTTCCCCACATACATGGTAGGAAGCTCTGGGGAAGCCTCAGGGATCCATCAGCCAGGGAGGGCTGGGATATCAATGCATAACCAGCAGAGAACAGGTTTCCAAGGGCACTCACTGCGGGTTTCTCTGATCCACTCCACTGTTGGCATCCTGCTGCACCTGACCTGGGTTATCCATGCTGTTCCCCATCGAGCCCCTGCACCTACCCCTTGGTGATGGCACGTCCTATGTGATGCTAAATGTTCTAGTCTACGTGACAGGTCCAAGAGCAAACACAAAGTGCCACGGAATTAATGTATGAGTGACTGTCACATGCTCAACACTTACAAGAGACACCAACTTGAAGCACAAATACACAAACCCTACCACGTCTTCCTCTTTTATATTTCTCATTTATATATGGATACAAACACACCACTGCATCTGGTTCTTGTGGTTCTAACCAACTCCATGCTGCAAGTAACACTCCAGGCTTCAAACAGCAACTCAGCCCCAGCACCCTGCAAGGAAACCAGTGGCACCCCACCCAGAAGGCAGGGTGCTGGGGCTGATCCTGCTGCAGGCAGGGGAGGAAGGTGTGTTTTCCTCTCTGTGTCACTAAAGTGACCCTAACTCTGTCGCTGAACTTAGTACAAGCCTGGCTTGCTCACACTTTACAACTGGCAGTAGAGCCTTTGCCACAAGCAGTATGTTCTTCCAGCTGTCATCATGTTCCACACAACACTCTCCTGGCTCAGGCTGATGAAAATGAAAGACTTCATGACCTCGTTGGAACCACTTCTTTTCTCTCGCACATCTCTTCCTCGTCCTCTGTAAGTGGTTTGTTCTCCATATGGTGTTCCCAGGTTAACTTGCAGACAGAGAAGCTCAGCTTTCACTAATGAATCTCGGACATTTCATACAAAGTACTTGGATACTTGTTACCTCAGCCACAGTCTTGAGGAAAGAGAAATCCACGGGTTCTGCAAATCCACCTCATAATGGTAAAGCCATAAATAAACACACTGTCAATGTGTCACCATGAGTAACTGGGGGATTGTTTCCGTCTCCGCTGTGCATTCACAAAGCTAGAGCTATGCAGACACAATGAGAACCATAAATGTACAGGGTTGGCGTGAGTGGGGGTACACCCTGCAAACAGAACAAGGACTCTGAACCTGCAGGTGTCTGTCACACTGTCCAACACCACGGACTAATGCGAGAAGCTGTAACAGAGGATACAGAGAGAGGAGAGGGAAAGGCCGTGTCTACACCGCTGCACAAAGCACATCCATCCCACTGCTGTTTCCTACGTTAACGAGTAGCTCTTTAAGGCAGAAGAGAGACATTCTGTGGATCTTGGTGCTATTGGCTCATTGCACTCACATTGTTTCAGTGGCAGAGGACGAGGTACTTTTCTTCCTGAAGCGAGGTCTAAGGGTCCTAGGCGGTGCCTGCAGGAAAGCAAGAGGAAACGTCAGCGGCATGATAGGAAATGGTTTTCCTTTCCTTACAATTCACCCATCTTTGCAGTGGCACTCATCCCACGCCAGTAATGGAGAAGCAGATCTTGGCACTGAGGAGCATTAATGAAAGACCAGCTGAGGACTAACTGCTTCAAGAAACCTGTTGTAGTCCTTTACCGAGGTTACACCAGCAGCTTCCCCTCTGGTGCTTGGTTAGAGGCTAAAGACTGCTAATAACAGGTTGAAGGAGTCAGGACAAATTGGTGCCATTGACAACAGCTCGTGGATCAGGAGAGCAAACTGGTGGCAGAAAGACAGCTCTGGTGTGTCCCAGCCTGTCCTGCACTGCCCAGCCCAGCTGCAGCCCCTCTGAGGGTACATGGGGCATTGCAGAGCTGAGGTGAAACACTCTGAGGCTGTAATTCTCATAAGGCAGAACTCCTCCAAGATCAGCCTCTTGCTTTGAGCACAGGCCAGACACAATAGACTGAAATCAGTTTAGAAGCCAACTGTTGCAATTCTGTCCTGCAGAGATGCAGTGATGCAGAGAGCTTCAAAAAGCAGCCCTGAACGCTCAGGAGGAGCCAGGCAGCTCCATGGAATTCATTTACTGTCATCAACCCCATTCTCCAGACTGGGACAGGATTTAATTAAACTAGCAAACAAACAAACATAAAACCCCCTAATCTGCAACACATATGACTCTCAGAAGAGCTTTGGCATTGGCATTGTGTCTTGTGAGCTTCACAAGAAGAAATGGGTACCAGATGTTGTGGAGGAGCACAAGTTCTCAGTCTGGAGGCCTGTCATAGCATCATGTATCACTGCAAGGCCTGGTAAGCTCTTCTACTCCATTTACATCTATATCCAAAGCATCAAACTATTTACCTTTAAGAGTCTGACAGGATCTTACCATTCCTAAGTGAGGACTTTGTCATTTCTGTTTTATAGGACTTTCAACCCCCAAATCATGCTGTGTTTCCCCATTCCTGTGATGCAGCAAGGTATAAATACTCATACAGACAAGGAACTGCAGCATGGTGAGGTTTTGGTTAGACTCCATCTAGATTTCCATCCCTTCCAGCTTGCCAATAAACCAAAGTGGTTTCTCACAGAGATGGGATTAATCCAACACCTCACCCCATCTTCTGAGCCTGGAATCCTACCTAAGTCTCCACTGTGAATCCCCAAAAGCACAACAGACCCGGATGGGATGGCTGCACCCAGAAAGCCATAGCTGAAGGAGGAGAGCTGGGGAAGAAAGCCAGACAGGTCTTAGAGCAAAGCAGTCACGAACTGCACAGTAACGAGTCTTAAATAGCTCTGCCTCCTTTGGGAGGCCACCAAACAGCTCTGAGAGCAGCCAGAGAGGCTGCATCTTTCCACTGTAAGAACAGAGCAGCCCAGCCTTTGGTGGTCTTTGGTGGAGATGTGTCAGCTCAGATCTGTGAGCTCCATCTGCTCTGGCTCCATCCTCCCTGCCCGGATCTGGAAGGATTCTTTGTCTTCAGCATCTCCCATGGAGGTTTCATTTCCTCCACAACAAAACGTTGCTAAAATAGCTTTTGGCAAACCCCTTTGTGAGATCTGCATCTCCTTTAGGGCTTTTGTTTCCATGGAACAACTTAAAAGTGTACTTGTTAATACAGTGACTGATCCAAACCCCTACAGAGTCATGAAGTGCTGCTGGTCTCAGTCGGGTTTGTCTGGGTGTGAACCCAAGTGAAAGGGACCAGGCTCTGTGGGTGCTGTTCTCACTGTAACCATCCTGCCTTGGGGGTGAGAACGTGTTTTCCTCTTCAGACATGAAAAATCAACTGGGTTTGATATCCAAACCCTCTCACTCAAACACCTCCACATGGTATAGAGCTAGAGCCAAGTTTTGCAACTCACAACCATCTCTGAAGCCCATATATCTATGATCTCCACTGGCACCAATTCAGACTCTGTCAGGAGATCCACACATGCATGAAAGGGAGTGATCCAACAGCAAAACCCATCCTTGGAAGACCAGAAATGTCTTGTTTGGTGGTTTTAGACCAAAGAGAGATCTTCATTCAGCTGAGGATTTAAGGAATGTTATACAAGGAGGAGCCTTGAAGTACCTCAAGGGGTTGATCCTTCTTTTTGGGCTTTTTGTTCATGGATGCACAATCCAATGAATCGTTCTCCTCATCATCCGAGAACACAGAGCCTTGGGTTTCACAGTTTACTTCAGGTGGCTTTTCAAACGTATTGTCCATACCTATTTCACAGGGCCATTTACAGTCTAAATGTGAAGACAAGGGATGAAGAAATCAGTGATGGTTCGATTCACACTCTGCCAAACGCCACCTCACTGCAAAGCCATGCATCTTCCAGGCATTAATAGACTGCAGGTTCATACATCACACTCTAGTAATAGCAGCAGTGGGGTTAGAAATCAAAAGGGTTTTCTTTATGAAGCCATTATAAGCTCTATTTGGATTATTTTACATGTAATTGAGACTAAATTCACAGGCTGTGATGCTCTGGAGGTTGCCTCTAGAAAGAGTTCTTTGTTTATCCAGCCCATAAATAAAATAGCTGATTTATTGAATCACTGATTCCATCCATAGCTCCTCTATTTACAGTTTCCAGAAGCGTCCTCTAGAAGGCACCAAACGAGTGCTGAAGGCCTCTGGTCAGTGTAGAGAGAGCTGCCTGGGATGTGGAAATACGAAGTACAGCAGCACTTGGAGCTGAGAGAGCTCAAGCTGAGATCCACTGATGTTAACATAAAGCTCCACCAGGTATTAAGTGGACTCTCAGCAGTGGGAGTGTTGCTGCAAGACCAGAGCAGGGAAAAAGCTCTCTTCTGTCGCTCTGGAGTGAATTCCATGGAGCACTAACTCCACTGATGGATCTGAAGGCAGATTTTGCCCCCATGACTACAGACCACTAACACCAGCTTGGTGGTTCTTGTAACGTAGGGCATGATCATGGTGGATCGGTCATGTTGCACAACACAATCCATTTGCTGTCTTCAATGCAGACAGCGAAGCAAGACAGTCCAAAGCAGGAGGTACAGAAGAGGACACCCAGCATGACCAAGCTTCCTGCATCTCCACCGATGGCTTCTTATCCATAGGGTTGGAGCTTTCTCTGTTTAACTGATAGTTATTTTCCTTCTGCAGCATGTCAGGAGTGGAAGTGTTTGCTGTTTAGACAGCATTAACCACAAGTATTTGCTCTGTATTAGACTGTTGTATGAACATACATAGAGACAATGCTCTGTGCTTCTGTCTCAGCCTGACTGTAAGGCTCTGCTGGACCAAAAACTTAAACCCAAAGATTAAACCAAAGAGGATACCTCAACATCCAATGCTTCTTGGATTCTTAAAGTACAAAAGAACTGAATTCTCCAACAGCTTGTTCAGTTGGGTAACAGAGAGACAAAGGGAAGTGATTTGGCTACAGCAACACCACCAGTCATGAGCAGGTCACTGGGGCTCTCTCCAGTGCCAGACTGAAGTCAGTGAGCTGGGTCATCCTCAGCCCCTGCGTTCAGCCCACAGGATGCGGCTGCTGCTCGAGGGAGCATCCTCTGGCCACTGCCCCTGTGGTCCTACTCCTTTATCACCATTTGCATGGGCAGGCTGACAGACACCATTGCAGGTTAGCAGGAAGAGCTGGAAGCTGTCTTTTTTTTTCCCAGATATACTGACAGTGCTGATTGTCACATTGCAGAGAGGTCCAGGATAATGCTGAATTGGTTCTGTTGTCCGCGTATGACTGTTGTGTTAGGACTACACTGTGGGGAGACTTAAATCTCTAGACCACAAGGCAAAACAGTGCAGGAATATTCCATTTGAAGTACTATTTAATCCTTCTACTTGGGAAATGAGCTACCCAGGAGGAGCCTGGCTTAGGCCAGCTTGGATGTGGAATATGGTCCTTGTTGCCTCTCCAAGCCAACAAAAACTGAAATCAAGTTTGGTTTAAAGCTTGAAGCATGCCTAAATCTTCAGCTTGGAGGCCAAGTACTGCCCATAGATGCCCTCTTCCCCTGGGGTCCCGCATACAAGAACTGCAGGCTGGACTTCAGGCAGTCTGTTTCCAGATAGATGGTAAAAGTGGGTCAGGACCCATTCAGGTGCCTCACTGAGGTTTGCACAGTGGCCCAACAACACACCTCCAAGTGCTGCTGTGAGGAGACACAGCTTTTCCCCATGGAAAAGAGGACTCTGAATGGGACAGGATGGAGGGGTGTTGGAGAAGCAGAATTAGAGTGTTTTAGTGCATGGAGACACCGGCTGCTGAAGCTTAAGGAACACAGGATCAGGCCAATGTGCTTGCTCCCTTTCTCCTACAGCCAGATGCTTTGCTGGAGAAGGAGACAGAAGGAACCGTCAGCCCTGATAGCGCTCCCATAAATCCCATGGTTTTCCAATGTATCTTGCTTTCTCCGTTATTATTCTCTCTCTTCAACTGGGTGCTGGGTTAAAAAGGTCCCCAGGCAGCTCTGCCACCTGTGTTGTGTGTCTCCATGGCAGGCACAGCCTCCGATGGGCTCTTCTCTTCTCAAGGGTCACATCCAGGTATCCAGAGGAGAGCTCGGGCTCCAAGCTGGCACATACGGCTTTGACCCCGCAGCAGAGAGGTCTGCAATGTCCACTGGAAGCTGGGCTGATGCCCTCTTCTCCCCTGCTCCATCTCATTGTGGATGAGGCACTGAAAGCAGCCAAATGGGAGCCAGTTTTGCTTCAGCCTCACTGAACTGGGAAAGGGAAGAAGCAGATCTATCCCAAGCCCTTCTGCTACATTGCTGACCATTGACCAGAGCAGATCTTGAATACAAGATCCAGGAGCAAGAAGGGAGGATTCCCTGCCCATCCTGCCTCAGGGATTGCACTGGGACAATCCCAACCTTGTATTGACCTGGGGTGCCAGATTTTGTCCCACGTTTGTGGAAGCATGACACTTGTGGGGCTGGAGGCAGCTCATCTCAAAGGGCAGCTGCTGTGTGAGTGCCAGCTCTGAAGCTGGGGTTTCTTGTGATGACAGGATAAAAACCTGATTTTCCTACACCAAAAGAGTCCTCCTCTGCAGGAGAAAATGTAAATTAGGGGATTAACCAGGATAAAAAGCACACATGAGGAATTAGTGAGGAATTCTTAAAGAGAATGGATGGGTTCTGGGACACCAAGGTTTGTTTATGGAGAAGGTGAAGTATGAGGAGCAAAACACGTCAGTGCTGGCACATGCTCCTTGAGGAGAGCGCTTGGTCTTGGGTGACTGGCTCCTAAAAGCCACCTTTAGGATATAAGGCTGTGTATTGAGCCTCAGGCCATCATGGGTGTCCCCAGAGTGGGGGTGCCAGCAGCCAGGGACAGCCCCAGGGCCTGTGTCACAGCATGGACCACACCACCAGATGATGCTCCTGCCTCTCTCATCCTCAGGAGACCCTCACTGCCCATCTCAGAGCTGTGTGTCCAGGGTCTCCACCTCCCACATTTATGGCTCCACAGCTTTGCATGGAGGGGCAGGACTGCTGCAGAGATGGGAAATCCACTGTGTGAAAGGGTGAAAGCTGCTGCTGCCTCTTGCAGCTTTCAATATCCAGATGACACCTCTCCCTGCACTGAGGCAAGACAGAACCTGACTGTAAACAGTGTAAGGAAACAGACCCTGTAATTCCAGTTCCTACCATCCTAATTCCTTCAAAGGGAACTGATATAACAAACACAGTGTGGGGGAAGCCCTGAAGCCAGGCATATTTCAAGGTAAAGTTGACATTTGAGTGCTCTGCAGAGGTGGGATCTAAGGTATTACAAATGTACAACAGGGGACCATGCAGCAGGAAAAGGGAATGTGGGGCCAGACCATCATCATCTTTAAGCTCTGTGATCTCAGAAGGGCTAAGAAATCTTCTTCTATAGCAACAAGTGGGATTCAGTAGCGTGCTGGTTCTTCAGCCATCCCTTCATTTCAGGCTCTGGTCTATGCTGCTGTGTAAACCTGGAGTAACCCCTATGGATTTCCATGAGTACAACAGAGGTCAGGATCTGGCGGACTCTAACTACAGATGAGACACTTAAATACTGTTACAGTGGGAATCAGGCATCCCTTTGAGGGGAGCTGGACCTCCCCCCTACTTTGCTGGGCACAACACGTGTTCCTCCCACTGCAATTCCTTAGGAGCAATGGGGAAAACCATAGTTACAGACTACACAAACCAGGATCAGGGATTGTTATGGAATACATGGAATATAATTGTTATGGAACATAATTATTGTAATGGAAGATAAAGCCACTCCAAAGCCAAGCCTTTCCAGGGGATAATTAATATTAAAGAGGTTTGCACACCACTTAGTAAGAGCAGGTATTTATTATACAATGGTGATCAGCTTCTTTTCCCTGCAACAAAGACAAACTGGCCGTCATTTCCAAAGGACATTGACCCAAGCCACGTGCTTGCCCGACATTTCTCATTGCCAAACCAAGGAGTTAGGAGCAGCCAACTCCACGAGCGCACGCTGCCCAAACAGAGGCAGACATCGTCTCCAAAGTCAAGTGCAACCAAAGCAAACAAGTTGAATCACAGCAACAAAGCCACCCGTCAATGAAAACGCATCCCACAAAGGATTAAGTTGTTAAGTGCTAGTCTTGTCCAAACACCTCAGAAGAACACCCATGCGGTCTGTAACACTTACATCAGAGTCCCATCATATTTATAGAGAGAAAAGGAAAGAATAAACTGTTAGGGGAAAGCATTGGGGTGTAGAGAACGAAGGAACACTGGTTCAGAGCACAGAAATCATCTTTGCATATCTGTGGTTCCAGTGGAGTTTTTTAGCTTCCTGCTGGTAAGATGCAAATGTACTTAAAGAACCTACTGATTGACCCTGAAATAAGCATAGTAAGTATGAAAGTACTTCAAAAATACCCAGAGAAGCACCCAAATGGCCATTCAGTGGTACCAGTGCAAAGCGATGCAAATCATCCCTGTAGCAACTTGATTAACTTTAGTAAAGGGAAGTTTTAAGGAGCAAAATGCCTGGAGCAACAGAAAGTTCATTGTTGTTTAAGTTCAATGAGAGAAAGGTTAAAACTAACCCCTGCCACAAGAGCTGGAAGCAAAACTGGCTAAGAACAGAACTGAAACACCTACCCCATTACATTGCATCAGTTCAGAGATACAAGAGCCCCTTGATGCAAAGTCATTTAGGTTTTTAAGAGTACTTCCCACTGTAATCATCTCGTGTACAAGTTGTAGCATAATAAAAACGGGCTGGATACATCCAATAGGGTGCTTTGTTTAAAGCATGATTTAGTGAATGTCCCATTAAGGCCCTCACTGAGCTGCACTGCTGATTGTGTGCGATCCGTCACCCTGTCTTTGGGGTGACAATCATATGTGGGAAGGGATCCAACATCATTTTATGGGGTCTGGCTTAACGCTACAGCACCCTGTGGATGGCTGAGTGAACATGTTGGCCAGGCTGACCGTCAGCCACTGGTGAGCTGTAGTTTTAAGGTGGTTTTAAGTTTTTAAAGGCCTCTCAAATACCTGCAGCCTCAGCAGTTCTGCTATAGAGCTGATTCTTCAGGACCTAATACATATATTTATTAGATATAAGGGAGGAGTTCTTTACTGTGAGGGTGATGAGGCACTGGAATGGGCTGCCCAGAGAAGTTGTGAATGCTCCATCCCTGGCAGTGTTCAAGCCTTGGGTGACACGTTCTAGTGTGAGGTGTCCCTACCCATGGCAGGGGGGTTGGAACTGGATGATCTTAAGGTCCTTTCCAACCCAAACCATTCTGTGATTCCCTGCAAGGATTAAAATCGTTCTTCCCCCCCCCCCATGGCACAGGTCTTTGCAACAGCACCCAAGAGACGTTAGCTGAGGAAGTACCACCGAATATAGTATTTGTTACTTCTTAAATGCCAGCTCCAAGCACGACTGTTCAACACTGCCCAGCAGTTAAGCATTTACCAGACCCTGCCAAGAGACAAGCGTATCCCTGGAGATTTTTACTCTGTCCTTCTGAAGGGGAAAAAGGGCTCTGACATAATTGCATCATTGTTCCTTAATGCTGCAGCCTGACTTTCCACAGCCTGCGAACAGAGAGGATTGGATAAAAGGAAGAAGTTCTTCCCTGTAAGGGTGCTGAGGCACTGGCACAGGGTGCCCAGAGAAGCTGTGGCTGCCCCATCCCTGGCAGTGCTCAAGGCCAGGTTGGACACAGGGGCTTGGAGCAAGCTGCTCTAGTGGAAGGTGTCCCTGCTGGTGGCAGGGGTTGGAACTGGGTGAGCTTTAAGGTCCCTTCCAACCCAAACCGTTCTATGATAATCCTGTGATAAATGATAAATCAGAAACCTGTGTAAAGACCTGGAAGGAGTTTTGCCAGCAAAGGCCTTCCCCTGGGCAAGAGCTGGCACAGAAGCCGTCAACAAGACAACGCTGGCATATGCATAGTGGAACACACTCGTATGTAGTGAAGCTGCCCAGAGCAAAGCAGGATGACTGTCCTGAACTGTGTCAACGCTCTGTCATGTGCAGAGCATGAGGCCGGCTGGAGGGAGCCAAATGGGTAGGGAAGAGCTCCAGGAGCAGAGGAACCCATCACCACCACTGACAGTGCCAGATCTGCTGCTCTGGGGCAGGGGGAGCTCCCGCTGCACTCAGCCTGGCCTTTGGTCTCTTGCAGGCCATGAAACCCTCCCATGGGATATAATCTATGGAGCAGGATGGGTGAACTTGTGCTCCGGAGCTGAGGGGGTTTCTATGAGTCAACCAGAGAGAAACGTTTCACCTCCAAGAGCATTAAAGCAACTGCCAGAAAGGCTGCACCATGGCTCTAACCCAGCTTCTCACACTGCTGCTTGAGCTCAGGCTTGACTACGGACCCATTTAGATTACCAGCTCTTTGGAGACAAGTGCTGTTAATGATTGTACTCTTAAACTGGCGACACAAAAGCCTGCACCAAGGAAAGATGAGTTCAGGACCGCTTCGTCCCAGCTAAACAAACTTTGCTTCTGTCTTCCCCCCTGCTTTCTGTGGCACTGCAAAACGTGTTCACACGATGCAGTGAGCCCTCTGAGCTGCCCAAGCTGCGCTTACAAAGGGGCATTCTCAACGGCAGGCCCTTGTCTGACAGTGCATTAATGCATCTATTGCCTTGGAGACAGAGAAAAGGCAGCCTGTGGAGACAGAATGAACCTTCTATGAGATAGAGCCTCAGTGTATCCCCATTGACATGGTCTAAGGGACTACTGGATTAAGTCTGGGGGGAGGGAATAGTAAAACAAGCCAATCTGAAAGCAGTTTAAACCAGATCGACATGACTTTGGCCCAATTTGTAAACACATTGGACTGATTAAATGACTTTCCTAAGGTTCACTCATGACTATAAAGCACTTAAAGATGCAGTGATCCTTTTCATAAATAATACTTTGAAGTCAAATCCATAGCATCGGTTTAGGCTAAAATTAGAAGGGTGCTAATAAAACGTGCTGTGAATACCAGTGTCTCATTGATGGCTTAAACAGACACCACCTCAAAGAGGCTTCATTCTGCACGGCAGCACCAAATGTGCTGGTGCAAAGAGGACAACAGGGAGGGTGAAAAAGCAGCCACAAGGGTTGGTTTGCCACCTACACAGGGTGCAAGGAGACGGCGTCAGGCTGGGATCACCACCTGCAAGCACTGATGCAGTGGAAAGGCACAGATGGCTGAACCACAGTGGCAGCACTGGGATCTTCAGACCCTCCGCTGTAGTCCCCGGGTTGATAACAGTGTGCAAAGCGAACACAAAGTGAATGTGATGAGAAGTAAAGGAGTTACAAAGGTCTTTTGCTTCCACCAACATGAGACGCTGCCATTCTGGATGCAGCCCCATCCTCTGGCATGCCCAAATCCGAGGCCTCCCCATCCATTCATCTGCCACTGGGACACAATGCAGCAGTGATATAGCTCAGCTCTTAGCAGCCGATTGGTGCAGCATTGAAAACACCACCAGCAGCTAAACTATTCACCCACTCCAAGTTTGTAAACACAATGAACAGTGGGGACAGGCTTCAAACCCAGCTCTAGCACAGACCGGAGCAGGGAGAGTCCATTTAACCCTGCTTTGTCACACCACTTTGTCTGCTACTGGGCTTTGCTGTGGCTCCTGCTCATCCCAAACGCAAAAGTCCTCTCCACCAACACATGCCAGTCCTTAGGGAACAGAAGAAAACAGCAAAGGCCAGGTTGGACACAGGGGCTTGGAGCAACCTGCTCTAGTGGAAGGTGTCCCTGCCCGTGGCAGGGGTTTGGAACTGGATGGGCTTTAAGGTCCCTTCCAACCCAAACCATGCTGTGATTCTATGAAAGCACTGGGGGATACAGAGCAGAGGAGTCACCCTGGTGCAGCGGGGACAGCAGCACATCCTCTAGAATAGAAAGGACCGGAGCTCTCCAGAGAAACACTCCCCAGCCTTGGGTAACACGGGTCAGTAGGATGAGCAGCACTGCACTGCTGGCCCCCAGCACAAACCCAGCTCACACGGCCTGGCCTTCCCCTGGTTTGTTCCCCTGGTGTTAGGAGACACAGTGAGCATGAGTGTGAGGAGCAAGCCAGGCTGGGGAGCACAGCCATGCCTGAACGGGATGCGCGGCTACGGAGCACAAGAAACGCAGCACTCACCTCTGAGGAGCCGGCACACCGAGCAACACGTGCACACTGGAAGAGGAGCTGAGCGTTAGGAACTCATCAGGCTAAGCCACCGACTCCCACAAAGCACTTGGCATCATTTGGAGATGGAATTCAAGGCCCTTGTGTGCGTAGAGAGGTGATTGTCTCTATCCACCGGCATGGAGCGCACACAAGAACGTGCCTCACCCTGGGCTATGCGCCTAACGGGTGTTCAGGCTGGGATTCCATACAGCTCCCTGGCTCTGGTCTCAGATCACTGACCATAGGGATCTGGGAGCATGGATGAGCAATGAGTAACACAGTGTAAAAGGCTGATGAATACAAGCACAGGGTGCAACACTGGGACTTGTATTGCTACATGCCTGCATTTCTTTTTCCAGTAGATTCAGACATCTACAAGCAGCCATTCACACAGCTTCTGAAGGAAAACTATCCCTGCTCTATGCGGATCAGGAGCATGCTGAGGAGTCCTGCAGGAACTATGCTTTGGTGGAATTGCTGTAAGGATGACAGCAGCCAAGGGAATGGCATCGCACCCTTCAGTGAGAATGCAGGGGAATCACAGCTGCTCAGGAAAGCACGAACTGCACAGCTTCATCCTGAGGACAGCCTGGCTTCCAGGAAACAGCCCAGAGACAATTCCCAGTCTGAGCTTTCCAATGAAACCCTCCCAGTGGCATCAATGACTCCAGATTAAAAGAGCTTTTGAATGACAAGGTTTGAGCTCTGGGTGATTCCTTTGGCCAGGATTATCCTGCACTTCCATAGCTTCACAGCCATTTTAAACCAGCACAAACCAGCACTGCTGCTGACAGCAGATGTCCCATTGCCCCTCACACTCTGGCCTCCACCTTCCTTGTGCCATGGCTGATGTCTGTGCTGCTGCTCTCTACTGGCTTTGAGGATCTGGGCCAGGCCAAGAGCAAGGAACAGCATTTGACTTGAACCAGCTCCCTGAGAGGGGTCAGCACATATAAGGTTTAAACATGTCCAAGGAAAAAGGATGGCATGGGGCAGAAGCAGGCAGTTGGGTCATACCCTTTCAACAGGAGTGCTGGCTCACACTGGCTGGATGCTGCTCTGAAACTATGGCCTTTGTAGTAGAGGTGAGTCTCAACCAACCTCAAGAGATGTGCTGTGAGTTGAGCCTCTGGTTTTACATGGAAGTCGATGATCAGTTTTGGGATGGTTCATTCTCTGAGAGCTCACACAACATCTACACAAGGGTTGTTCCTGCACATCTCTGGAGCTCTTCTCGTTGGTGGGGACTGAACTACAGCGGCGTGTCCTGAATGCTGACGTTCCACCACCTTTGCTCTCTTCTGCAAAGCCTTCAGTGCTTAAGTGCAAAACCAAGCAAGAGCCTTGAGTCTCTCCTGCACAGAGGAGGGGATGGTACCAGAATGCACATTTCTGCTTTGGCATCATTCCAGCTGAGAACGACCTCTGCCTGGGGCAGGCTGAAGCAGAAAGGCCACTTGGTCTGGGCAATGCAGAGGATGGCTCTGTAATACATGATCCACAGGCCCAGACAGCATCAGTGCTGGACACCCTGATGCAACACCCATCTCCTACTGCTGAAGTGCGTCCCACTGACACCCCAAAGCCAGGCTGGTCTCCAACCAACGCACATCAGCAACCCTGAGATATGTTTGCATCAGCTCCAGGATTGAGCTATGTGACACCATGGCCAGTATCCTGCTCCTGTCGCATGTGAACAAGTTGCATCTGTACTGTCCAGGATGCTTTAAGGCAATACTGTAATGTTAAGAAGTGCAACCCCCCCCCAGTGCTAATAAAGACATGCCTGCGTGTGGATTGTTACTGGACATCAGGATTGCCTTGAAAAATGGTTGGAAACCTTGTTCTGGAGCTTCCAGTTTTCCATTGCCATGAGCAGCCACACGACACTTACAGTTCCCAAAGGAAAGGGGCAGCTCTGTGGAAGCAGCACAGGTTGAAACAGGCATCGGAGCTGAAATATCACCGGCTCTCATCAGGATGCCAAGACAGTAAATTGAGAACGGCTGCACTAAGAGCAAAGTGAAAGATCAGATAGAGAGGACAGAGAAGAGAAGGGCTTTCTGTGTGATGGAAGTGAAGAGCTGGAGCACCTGGAGCCCACTGCACGATGGAAGGGCACCTACACACGTGGGGCAGCTCGAAGTATAGGGAGCACCATTGATAGGCAGCAAAGAAAAGGAGGAGTAAACCCCCGTGCCTCAAAAGCAGCTCCTGCATATTCTATTTCTTGGCCTCACAAGACACTCTTCAGCAGCCAAAATAACCCTTTGCTGTGTCCACATGTGGTTGTTACTGGCTATATGTCAAGCTCTTCACACGGTGCTTTGTGTCAAAGGGGATTCAGAGCGTCACAAGCCCATCTGACCAGCACCAGGCACTGTAAAAGGAGCAGCAATGGAAATGAGACAGGCTGAGCAGTTATTTAGCATGGCCTGAGTACAGTGTGGCTCTGCAGCCAGCTTTTGGCCACAGCCAAAGCCCACCGGGGTCAGGAGAGTCTTTTCATGGATTTCAGTGGGCTTGGAAACATGCCCAAGAGATGGGAAATCAGAACCTGAAGCACTCCTGGTGCTCACAGGGTGAGTTCATATGGAAACACGTGAGGTTCAGCAGCCTCAGCTGGGCAGGGAACACAACAGACCTCTCCCCATGCCCCTGGCTTTCCAAATCACTTTCCTTCAGGTATATCTGCTCTTAAACACAGTCACTCAATAGGACTGGAACTCGCAACACCAAGTTCTACACCAGACCTGGCTGTGGTTTCATTGCTCAGGGAATGGGACCCATCTAAAGCCCTGTAACAACCTAAAGAGTCATCCCTTGCCTTTGCCTGGTTATTGTAAGTGAGGGTGTGCTTCCATGCTCCATTCCTTCAGGAGCAAAGCTGGCTAGAGGAGCTTCCAACTCCTGGCCTCTTCATCTCGTACCTCCCCAGAGGTCTCCCAGAACAGTTATGCTGGAGGCTCGCAGCGAGGCAGATCAGCAAATCAGTCTGAGTTCAAAACAATCCCTCACAAACAGGACAAGAAAGTGTTTTTATCTGGACCAAACCTGGGATTTCTTCCCAAGTTCAAGCTCTTTACTGCTGGGCAGCTTGAGTGACCACACTGACCTTAACTCCAGCACCTGAGGGGAGCACTTGACATCCAGTTACCATTAGGATGCTGTTCTCCCTTTGACATGGCTGTCTCCCCTGTTGGGAAAATTACGAGCCTGTACTAGATGCAAAACCAGTTCCTCAGCCTTTGTACATCCCTGACAGCCCTATGGGAGAAACAAAGGGAGCTGCAAAAGTGCTCCCTTAGGCAATCTGTGCATGCACTGCTCCATCACAACAACACTTCAGGTGCCTGTCCCTGCCACAGTTATTGATCAGCTGTAAACTCAAGCAGTGACTTTGAGACCTGCAACTACAAGCTGCAGAGGACTGTTAAAGGTTGGTGTAGATGGAGGATGTAGGGAGGGGGGGCACCTGAATGGACAAATGCTGAGGAGCTATAAGGGTGACATTCAGATCAAGTCATTGAGATCCCAGCACATCCAAGTGCACTTCTCACATGTCTGCACTGGGGAAAGAAAAAGGACAGAATAAAAGAAGGGAAAACATAAAAAGGGACATTCCAATTGTCCAGAAGCTTCTGAGTAGCAGCAGATAGAGCACTGTTACTACAGACAGAGAAACCCTCCTGCCAAACTAGGGTCAGGACTTTCCTATGGGTATGTTACATGCTATCACTGAATTAAGGCCACGTAAGAAAGCTTCTAAGGTATTGACCATAAAATACACAATCATCTTCCTCCACATGAGGCTTTCAGGACCTAGGTTTAGCAAGTACAATTTGTTCTGTTTTAGGGACACACTGAGGAACATATGTGCGCTGCAGGTCATACCAGGGGTGTGCAATAAAGCAGGGTGTGAATTCATGTGTCCTCACTCACAGTCTTAACTCCTAACAACCGCACTGCCTCTTCTGCACACACAGGACCTCTTCCTTCAAACCTTCCCTAAAAGCTTCCATAAAGCAGATTCCTACTCTGATCAAGTGTTTGCAGCCCCAACCAGGCTCTCTATTGATGTTCTTAAAGTTGTTTCATGTATGCCAGCAAACACTGTCATGTTACAAAGACCTTTTACAAGGAAGACGAGATCTTTGGCTGAGTCACCCTCCTGTCAAACAGAGTCTGGGGTATTTTTGCTGACTCCATCTGATGTCAGCCCGACTATGTCCCATTATCTCTAAAGCAGGAATATAAAGAGAAGTCCAACGTTCCTGTGAGGCAGTGGGGACAGCTGACATGGACATTTGTGTTATCCGAGGGCTTTGGGGCAGGGAAGAGCTGTGTGTCAGCTGTTTGTAGTGACTGCTCATGCACATACTCATATGTATACATTACATGTATTTATAGCGTACTAAGAGGCAGTAGCAAATTCTGTCTGCCCCTTGCAACACTCCAACTAAACAAATACAGAAGGTGGAGTGATGGAGCCGAATCTGGGCTTGGTGTGCCTACAGCACTGCCAGCTCACCGTGAATACGGCCTTCAAGGTGTGATACACCTGAGCTGCTAGACCACATTCTTATATACACACACATGGGATAAGTTATGACTGATCCATTTGCCCCTCTGGACATTCTGACTTCAGACACAGTTGTGCCCACACACAACAGCACACGGACTGGAGAGACCAGGACTGTATCTTTCACTTAATCTGATTGAAAGCGAGGGCGAACCTGTGGCTATATATAGGAGGAAGATATAGACAGATAGATAAAATAGATAGAGATAGATAGATAGACAGATAGATAAATAGATTCCTCCAACCTAGATAGACAGATGATAGAGAGAGATAGATAGATGCCACCAACCTATGAGGGAACCACTTTCTGGAGGTGCCTCTCTGTCTGTAGGTGGAGAAGGGGCCTCCAAGCAGGCTCCTAGGTTAAGGACCTCAGTGAAATCCCCAAGTGAGATGGGACAGATAAAAGTCTTGGAAGACTTGTGTTCTTTTCATTAAAAGAAGAATTAAAACCAAAATATCAAGCTACTTGGATCCAAAAATCCATGAGAAACATTAGTTTGAAAAGTTTAATGAACAATTCCATTTTCCAGAGATGAATTTTGAGACATCCTTGTACAGCACCGGTATGAAAGCAGATCAAAATCCAAAGCTTTTTGTGGTAAGACAGGGGTTTGAAACCAGGTAAGTTAAGTTCACTGCGTTAAGAATGAACCTACAAAGGCTGCTCTATACAACATGGAATTAAAACAACTCGACAATGCTTTACTTGCGCTATTTGGTATTCTGGCTTAAATACGTGGGGTGGTTTCTTTCATTGTTTCTTTTTTATCAAGAGCTTTATCTTCTACGTGTGAACACTTTGAGACTGATTACTACAAGAGAAGTACATGCGAAATCTTACACAAACCCAAGAATAAAACCCCTGGGCACTAACATCAGCTGTTTCAATTTGACCATAGAGAAAAGCCTGTGAGCTATAGTGCTTAGAACTTGTAAAGGACTCAAAGGACACTCTTTAGGAAGGCTGAAACAAGACGTTTCTAATACATTCCAATGCTAAAGCAAACTCGAAGGGGTGGCCATCTACTCAGGCTTGAAACACAGTGAAGGTCTGCACAGCCCTCACCACACACGAGCTGAAACTGCTCAGTTTCCCACTCACCAGCACGTGTTTCACAAGGTACCAAGTGCAACACGCCTGTGCCTAACATCAGTGGAGCTGCATGACCCTTGGTGGTGTTTGGGAACCCCAGAAGCCATCTGGAACCGCCTGCCTGGGATAACCCTCCATGTCTCAGTTCTGGAGACCTAATCTGCATAGCTATCTGCAAGTCAATGTTTTGGCTCTGGTCTCACAAAGATTCCTTTAACCAAGCTTGAATGGATCTGATTCCCACCATAACAGTCCTCCCCTTTGAAAACAAACCATTGGCCTTCAGAGAACCTAGTTTTTGCTTATGCAGACATCCTTTATATCAGAAACAGCTGCGAGATCTTGGTCTCTGCTTCTGGGAGTCTTTATATGGGGTTTACTTCTCAGAAGGCTTCACTGGTGATAAAGTTCTGGAGCTACAACCATCAAGTGTTGATACAGCTACTGTAGAGCTCAGAAGCAGCACAAGCGGGCGTAATTCAAACCAGATATCCATTAGAACTCGTATTTATGTTGAGATGACATAAGAGAGGCTGTATCACCATATGGGGCTCTGATGATAATAATGACCCTTGCTCACTACTGTGCATTCTTATCCCTCCTTTTGGACTTCCATTGCCCCCCTCACTGAAAACCCACCTGCCCAGAGCTTAGCTTTTCAGCTCAAGTTGCAAGGCTTGATGCTGGCTCCTTTGCATGCTCAAGCCCCATCCTTGGCAGCAGGCCGGAACAGTTCCCATCAAAAGATGATACTGTTTTCTCTCTTAAGTGCCAAGAGACTCAACAGCATGTGTGTGTCCTGCGAATGCCGGCATGCACCGCCTGCGGTGCCTGCTGCTATCTATTCCTGCCAACTGCCATGACTTCATTCAGCTGTGGGACACTGCAGACACCACGACACTGGAAATAACACTGGTGCTTACCTGAGCTGCCAGTGCCTTCCGATGCACTTCGGGATGGTTTTGGGTGGCTCTGTTTGCTACTTGTTCGTACAGTGACCGAAGGAGGAACAGTGCTGCTGCTGTCTCCACGGATCGTCGAGAGATCCTGCATGCTGAAGCTCCTTAGTCTCTCAGACAGGGCCCCCTGTCCCTGGTTAAACAAGGAAGCAAAGAACAGGCATAAAAGTTAGAGACAGCAGTGTAGTTTGAGCTTTCTTCTCTTTGCTCATTGAAATGCTGGTCCAGTAGCCTAGGGAGGACAAAAAACAACTTAAGAGCATCATTTCCCTCCCTTTGCTCTTCCTTTTGTAGGGGTTCTACACACAAAATCATTCCAACTTTGGTCAGTGAGCATCTCTGATTCTTCAATGCAGTCATTTGAGCTCAGAGCAGCCTTGGCTGCATCTAAAGGAGCAGGATGTTGTGGTGTCTTTCTAGCAGGTACTTTTCTTCCTTAAGATCTGAGTCAAATCAGTGCTTGGCTTCAGAAACACAACTAAATAGACTGCATCAGAATAACTCCCTTTAAAGTTACTGGTACTCACCCATCCTTTCTCAGTCATACACAGAATTTCCTGAGGAATTTGAAGGTAATAAATAGTTCATGTTAAATGCAAAGAAACATTCCAGTGCTTTTTCATGCAGCTTAAGGAAGAAGTAAGCACAGTATGTTTCTTTCTTGCTAAAGTTTTAGACAAGCTCTCAATCAGGCAAAACCTCACATTGCTTAGTGAAAGGAATGTAGCTGTTGTGTAATGGATGAGCTGGTTAAAAGACACCTTGCATTAAAACTACATCCCATAATGGAGTTGTCTGTAAGTATATGTATATGTTCTATAACCTTCACACTACACCACTGCCATTAAGAGTGCCAGCAAATACAATCAATACAATGTGTCCTTCTCTGTTGGCTACATGAAGTGACATTCAGAATATAAATAGCATAACTGATAAAAACCAAATACATGGAGCCCAATTCTAAACTTATTTCCGTTAGTGTAAATTAGGAAGAATTCAATGGATGTGTCAACTGAGGTGAAATCAGAAAGATGGCAAACAACAGCACTTACTGCCCTGTTTAACAAAAGAGATAAGGCACATTGCAGCAATTCACACACCACTGTCATTTAGTTAAAGCAGTGCATCACAGAATCACAGAGTGGTTTGGGTTGGAAGGGACCTTAAAGCTCATCCAGTTCCAACCCCTGCCACGGGCAGGGACACCTTCCACTAGAGCAGCTTGCTCCAAGCCCCTGTGTCCAACCTGCCCTTGAACACTGCCAGGGATGGGGCAGCCACAGCTTCTCTGGGCACCCTGTGCCAGCGCCTCAGCACCCTCACAGGGAAGAGCTTCTGCCTAAGAGCTCATCTCAGTGTCCCCTCTGGCAGGTTAAAGCCATTCCCCTTGGCCTGTCCCTACAGGCCCTTGTCCAAAGCCCCTCTCCAGGTTTCCTGGAGCCCCTTTAGGCACTGGAGCTGCTCTAAGGTCTCCTGCAGTCTTCCCCTTCTCCAGGCTGAACAATTTTGTTAACATCTCACCTCTGCCATTTCATTCTCCAACCTGCCACAAGAGCTGATACCTGAATACTGGCTACTCCTGCCAGGGGCTGAGCCACTCTTGGAACATGTTGTGAGTCCAAGAAGCACCTCAAGTTATTCCCTTTGGCCAGCCTGTGGTACATTTACTCTGCAGCCTATGGCTGTAAGTGGTACAGGGTGGTTCACTGGAGCTGCCCTGCAGGGCTGGTTAGCTGCGTGATCCCAGCCACCCAGAGCTCAGTGAAGTCCTGGATGGGCTCTGCAGCTTGCACTGGAGTCTTGCACAGTCATCCTGCGTGCATCCTGTCACAAGACATCCTATCCCATAGTCTGAGTACAACACATGGATCCCTACAGAGAGCAAGCTGAAGGCAATCAGACCACTGAATCATACTTTGCTGTTGCAGAACGACTGGACCAGCAAAGCCAGAGAGTTAACATTCAGTGAGCTGTGTAACCCCAGTACTGCATTTGTCCTGTACCACCAGCTCAAGCTTTGAACCTCCTGCCAGCCACTCTGCTCAGCCACCTAACCCAAATACCATTCCATTCCAATGAGCCATTCGTGCATGTGGACACGAGCCCGAGCAGAGATCCACATGTCGGACCAACCTACAGGGAAGATGACACTAATACACCTTATTGCATTGAAAATGAAGAAGACATTAAATCCTGCATTGCAACTTGTGATACAGCGGCATTAAATGATCAAAGGCCCCAGAGAATGCTCTTAAACAAGGGCCTGGTATGTGCCCATCATCTGTGGGTCTGCTACATGTATCATAGATATATGTAGCATATATTCATATCTATCTATCCATCTATCTATCTAGAGATACATAGAGAATCATAGAATCACAGAATGGTTTGGGTTGGAAGGGACCTTAAAGCTCACCCAGTTCCAACCCCCTGCCATGGGCAGGGACACCTTCAAGTGGACCGGGTTGCTCCAAGCTCCATCCAACCCAGCCAGCTCAAGCACGAGCTGTGGCGGCTGTGCTGAACAACACTGACCTTCTCTAGGACAAAAGAATCCAAAATTGCCTTTTCTCAGTTTTGGATTTAATTTGAGCTGAGTTCAGGACAGCAAAGCCGCAGGTTGCTCATCGCACAGATACAGCAAAGCATTGCTGTTCCTACCACTCCATGAAACAGTTTGTCCAAGCCTCAGGAACGACACAGGAACATCCAAGGCTTAGGCTGAGCAAGGACACTGCCCCCAAATAGAAACACGACAGAACTGATGACTACAACAGAACCAGGATGGTTTCAGAGCAAAGTGGAAAATGCTGTCCCCAGCCTTCATTTCCCTGCTAGAGAAGCAGCTGCTGTAGGTGGAATCGCACACATCTGAAAGGCAGCACTGTGAGGGCTTGCTCTGCTGTAGTTATGCTTTAGCACTAAGGACTTCATCCAGCTGGAGCGTTTATTATTCCACAATAGGACTTATAATTCATCAACAAAATGAAAGCCAAGAGCTGTGTTTCACAACCGAACAGATTCAGCACCGCGCACATCTTGGGCTTGGTTAAAACAATCACGTGGAAGATGCAGAGCAGCTGTCTGGGGGATTGTTGTTTACCATCTTGGCTGTGATCGTGCAGGTGCTCTTCCAACTGCTACAGACACAGGAGATACCCCAGGAACTTCAGCACACTGTGAGCCTGCACAGAGGGAAGGTGCAGGTCCTGAAGCTATGGCTATGCCATAGGCCAGATGCATGGGTGCAGCACAGATCTGGGCTGGGTTTATCCTAGAGAGCATGACAGCAGTAATATGACAGTAGCTGTGGTACCATTTCAACAGCAAACCAGCATCATGTTGCTATACAACCTTTAGAAAGCAGGGGTTGGGATGACACCACCTCTCTCCCCTCACTGAACATCAGCTGCCAGGTCAGGATGTTGTGCTGGCAGATAGGGGATGATCCATTGGCAGTGAGCTGGAGCTCATGGACATGGAGCTGAACATGGCTGATGGGGGATCCAAGGGGTTCCATGGGGCTGGAATCACAGTGGGAATGGGCCCAAGGGGATGTTTTGCTGCTTTTTGACTTGTATTTTGGGGATTTAATCTCCTGGTAGAGGACAGAAGCATGAGGTGGTGCTGGAAGACTGAGCCTTACTCTTTCTGGGCACTAAGAGTACCTGCCTAAACTCAGCTTGCAGCTCATCCAGCTTCTCCTAGGACAGACTGTCCCTGTAAGCATGGCACTTCTGATCCAGCACAGTGATGGCAACAAGTGGGAGGAGGTATGACCATTCCCTGCTCACTATAGTGTATCTGCTCCCAAAGTCATCCCATCTTCCTGCCCATAGGAAAGCTCATCCCCATAAGTGCAGCACAAGCTGAAAGCTGACTTCTTCAGGCTTCCTTTGCCTCTTCTTCTCCCAGGATCTACCTACCTCTCTGGGTCCATACACGGGGCAGTTCTATCTTTACAGGAAAGAAGCCCAGGTTGGGGCAGGGCTTGGTGTTACTGAAGAGAACAGAAACACTAAAAGGAACACTGTAATGTCATCCCCCAGGAACTGCTATCACTTGCATCCACCTTATTTAGATTCATAACACTACCAGTGGTATTAAGGCATCGTCCACCACACCACGGACGTTTAAGCTGAAGCTCATCTCTGATTCTAAGGGAAGTTAAAGCTCCCCTTCATGTAGCATAGTAATTAGTCTAAAACTAATTTAGACACATTTACCTACTTCAGTCAAAACTGCAGCTGCAGCACAGGCTCGCCTTCCTTACCCACATCTGGCACACTCTCACCTTAGTTTTGCTTTCAAGAGTGGGCCAAAACCCTATCAAAGTGTACACTGAGTTCTCAAAGCCAAATAACCTGCATCCTACCTTCCTCTAGATGCTACAGACATCATCACCTCCAGGAATGACCATTAACCTCCATGGGCCCAGAGCACAAACACTGATCCAACCAGCATTGGCTTGGGAGGATGAGGAATCTTGATTCTTTCCAAAGCCTGAAGTCAGTACTGGGACGGGCACTGGGATGGGCGCTCTATAAAGGCTCTGCATCAGAAATAGCTGGAATTGTTTTAATTGCTTTCCTCTCTATAATTAATCTCTGCATTCGCATTTGAAGTAGAACTTTTCAGATGGAGACGGACTCAGGAGTCTGGGAAAACTGGGTTTGCATCCAATGGAATTATTCCTCAGAAATACTCCACAGACACAGGCAGCTTTACACAGGCAAATAAAATAGGGCACAGAATTAAAGACTGCAATTTATATCACAGTCCCATTAAATACGATCTAAATACAAACAACTGAGTGTCTAGGTTTTCTCATACCTTCAGTCTGACAATCTGAAAGATTCTGTAGGTATTATTGAGGCTTCAAAACACCTCTAATACCCACAAGCTCCATTCTGCAGCTATAACAGCACAGTGAAGTAACAAATCAGGAACCAAAACATGTCAAGTCATGGAAGACAAGCTTTTAATACAATCAATGTTAATACAGGGTGGCACCTTCTGGCCTGTTGTGCCTTAGGGTCAGCAGGCAAGGGACAACACAACACTAACCCTCTCTTTCTGCTGTAACTTTGGTTCCACGTCTGCATGCACGTTACAGCTCCATCCTGCACACACTCACTACAAGGTGCAGTGCATGTTCCTAGGATGCTGGTTATCAGCACAGTGTCAGCAGCACTTCCCCAACAATACCTATCAGAAAATGCTTGCAGAGATGCATCTCGCTGCAGCCCCAACCACCCTAATGGGCTCACAGCAGCAGGAGAGGCTCCCTTTATCCATTAGCAAGAAGAAAACAACAGCAAACACAGCAGCTTGGCCAATGCAGTAGCAACAACCCGAGTTAGATGGGTTTTCCACGTACAAAGCTCCCTGCCTGGCTGCTGGAGTCTCTCTGATTGCCAGCAGAGGACTTGGAAGGCATTTTGCTGATGAGATCAAAGATAGGCTTTTAAAGCTCAGCACGCAGGATCTACCTACTGGAAGCAGAGCAGACAGCATCTGGCCTCAGCCCAATCTCAGCTGAAAACAGTTCAAGCTAATCTAATGGGGAGGCAGACATTAGTTAGGGGTTAGTAGAAGCACTCAGCAGATTACCTGCCCTTGTTTCTGGTCCCAGTACAAGTGTAAATGAAGTAGCTGAGAGACCTAGCAAGGGAAAAAAGAGAGCCATTGTGGCAACACACGTCAAAGCTTTGAGAATAAGGCCTATTTGAAGCATAAGTAATTAAGGCGAGACATGAGCATGACATTGGGCACCATGGGCAGGGGACTCACGTACACATAAGAAGCAGGGACACCCACCTTTAGATGAAGGTTCTCCCTTTCTCAACCTTCCCAGAGAGATGGAGAAACCACCCCATAACCCCAGCTGACAGGGGCTTACCTAGCAAGTGTGTTTAGAGAGTAAAGCAAATTACAAACACCATGGGCTGCCACTCTGCTCCTTGCACCTGATGGATGAGACTGGCTACCTCTGTAATCCAGATTTAAGATGATTAAGAACAGAGTGCATTTATAACTAATTTAGGCACAGGATTAGGTGAGGGACACATGGCAGTCATAGAATCACAGAACAGTTAGGGTTGGAAAGGACCTTAAGATCATCCAGTTCCAACCCCCTGCCATGGGCAGGGACACCTCACACTAAACCAGGTCACCCAAGGCTCTGTCCAACCTGGCCTTGAACACCTCCAGGGATGGAGCATTCACAACTTCCCTGGGCAACCCATTCCAGTGCCTCACCACCTTTACAGTAAAGAACAAGAATTCTTCATTATATCTAATCTAAACTTCCCCTGTTTAAGCTTAAACCCATCACCCCTTGTCCTATCACTACAGTCCCTGATGAAGAGTCCCTTCCCAGCATCCTTGTAGCCCCTTTCAGGTACTGGAAGGCTGCTCTGAGGTCTCCACGCAGCTTCCCTTCTCCAGGCTGAACAACCCCAATCTCTCAGCCTGTCTTCGGTCATTTCAGTCCTGGTGACTGCCAGCTCTTATGAGAAGCAGGGTAAGGATGAGGAATCACACCCAGCAATGAATCAGAGTTTGCAAACAGAAATGTTATCATTTGCTAAGAGCAAACCCATCGGCTTTATGCTCTTGAGCACAGTGAAGGAGAAAACCGCTTCTGCCCTGGTATGAGCACAAATATCCCACAAGCAACATCCTGATGGCCAGCCCTTGCGTGCCGTGCCTCCTCGCCAGCCGCTCCGGAGATGTCAGACAGCATTAAAGACTCAAAGGGAAACCACAGCTGACGTTAATGTTGATGGTGGAAGCTTCACTTCATCCACCCTTTTTGTTTGTGCCGTTCACTTCCTCTCCTGGGAACTGTTTGTGATTGTCTCTCCCAGGCTGCTCTCTCTGTGCAAGTTTATTGTTTGGCTCTGCTGTCCTGGGCATTCACTGCCTATTGTCGGCTTCTTGGAGACACCAGCAAAGGAGCCCACGAGAGATAAACCTGGCCTGCAGCTCCAACAGCACTGGGTTACTACTGATTTAGGAGAAACAGATGCTCAAAGGCATAAGAATGGAAGAGACATCACACCATGACAGGAACAGGTCACAATACCATGATCAGTGCCACGCTCCCCAGAAAGCCATTTGCTGTTCCTCTTCAGTGGTGTAACAGAGCTCAGCCATGAGATCTTTGATTCTGGATCCCACGTGGAGATCCTTTAAAGGAAGCTATTTTCAAAAGCAGCACGTTCAGCCCTTCTGAGGTGCCACTAAATCCCCTTCTGAGGTAACACTTTGGTGTAACACTGTGTACTCTAAACCACTCCTGACGGCTGCTCTTGGCACGGCCATTACAGATCTGGTGCTAAGCAGATGGATCAGAACTGTCCTCAGATGTGTTTAGTAAGTGAAGAAACACCTTCCCTCCAAGCAGTGGGATCTAATCATTACAAAGAGGCTTCATCCAGCATCTTAAAGGAAAGGATACTCCTTACCCCCTGCTTCCCTCTTTCCCCATTCAAGTAAAAGTGCAGTTCTCCACTGTCACATCACAAAAGGCAGCATCTCTGCCCACACACGTTTTTCCTCCACAATAAGTAAATCTCAATCCTTATGGAAAATTAGGGATCTAAACATTTACTTTCAGGCAGCTGCACTACCTATAATAGACAGATACTAGAAATGAGTGGAAAGATGCTGTTTGACTAGAGAAGACCGAATCTAAATCATTACCAGCATTTCCCTTCCAATACCCTAGCTTAAAAACCAGCAAACACACTGTGAACCTTCCCAATATATTTCTTCAGCTAAAGGACCCTAAAGTAGTCCAATCCCTAGGGGATGATGAGCCCAAAGGTGGAAATGGAAGTGACAAACCAGACAGGGCTGGGAGCTGAGGCAGTTTGGGAACTGCTGATGCTGCACTTCTGAGCGTTAAAGAGGTGGATGCACATAGTGAAACCCTCATCTGCATGCCTGCTCCTTTTGACCCATACCCAGTGACTGCTGGCTCTGCCAGCACCACAAGCCACATTTCCCCACGCATGAAAGACTCCTGGACTGTTTCTCAGACTTATTAGGCACAAACAGGCTTTTCATCGTCACCAGTCATGCGTGCCTGCTCCCTCCTCATCCATCATCCCCGGCCAAGGCGCTGTGCCTGCTGCCAGCAGCACGCCGTGCCCCAATCCCCTTCTTAAAGACAGGCTGTACAAGGGCACAGCACCAGCTGCTGTGCAAACTGTCCCTGCCCCACACACAGGAGGGCAGAAGAAGGGACATTATAAGAAAGCTTTGGGTTACAATGATCTGATGGCTGTGGGATGCTTTCTGCTGCTCGCCTTTGAAGAACTGAGTTGAAGCTGCAGCTTGGGGATGGTTAAGTGGTTGGCAGCAGGATTTGTCTTGGAGACAGGGAAAGACACTGGCCTGTCTGGCAGAATTCGTTTGTTCAGGGTGAGGAATCAGGCTACATGGAAAGAGGATCTGGGAAACCCTGGAGATTGAAGGAGAGGGTCAGAGGGCTGATAGTGTAAAACTGGTGGTGGGTGCATTGCAGAGACAGAGGAGGCAATGGCAGGGAAGGCAAGCAGGGAACAGAAGAGCAGGGGACTGGGGACAGGGCAAGGCAGCAGATGGCAGGAGGCTCAGGGTGACAGGCAGAGCACGAGAAAGTGCTGGGAGCATGGTGACAGCAAGGGTGTACATATGGATGTGAGGGATGTGCTTCCAAGCCATCGGTACCTCTCCTCACCGCAGCCACTATGGACCCCAACTGCTCATGTTAGAAACCTGATGGGTGCCAGTGAAAAACACACTTATGCCCATGCTTCCATCTGATGTCTCCAATGGCACCAGCACCACTGCTGGGGCTGTAACAACCTGCTGCTGCTGCTCTCCTTCTGCTGTGGCCCAAAAGCAGGCTCCTCTGCCTCTCCTCCCTTGAAGTGAGCTGGAAAGAAGGGGCAGGCAGTGCCCAGGGCCCTTTGGGAGCAGGAATGGCTGAATTAGGTGGAACTAATTGAAAGCACGCAAAGAGCAGCAGGATTTACTGCCTGGCCACCTAATCCTGCCACTTAGGACTGAGCCACTTGAAGTCACAGTGTGTGACAGAATGACCAAGCAATGAGGACAGGATTACAGAGCCCCAAATCAGATTATGCTCCTTGATGGGGACACAAGCTGCTGGGGACAGGGAAAAGATCTGTGCTGAGCACCTTGCAGGGTGTAATAAGAGCAGATATCCAGCGCTGCCTGCTTAGAGAGCATCAAAAATAGACTCTCTGGAGAGAGAAAACACCCAAGTGAGCCAAGCTGGGCAGCGCCAGGGTACCTGGCACACTGACAGCTCCTCAGCCTGTGAAATGAACTGGCACAGGTCTGCGCCAGCATTAGCACAAATGTGGCTTCAAAACAAAGCGGAGCAGGAGGGAGGGGAAGGGAGACGAGCCTGCAGTTGGCTAGCTAAAACTGAGGGCTATTTAAGAGAGAAAGGTGAAAGGGCCAAGGGATCAGAGGTTACGAAGCTGTGGCTGTGCTTGCAGCATCTTAGCCTGTAGTAAATGTACAAGCAGCAGTCTGCCGCACACAGATGCAATCAGAGAGCCGGCTGCATTGTGCTACACGGATAAATAGGTGATGGATAAAATGAACGGCTAAAATAAAAGATAGAATGAAGACAGGGGCCTTGCCCTAAGATCTTATCATGAAAGACAAAAGATCATGATGGATCAGGATGGCGAGTTAGCACAGCTCAGGGAAAGGAGAGGACAGGGCTCTGCACAGTGAGAAATGTCTCCAAGTACAGGAGCCTTTAGAGTTTAGCCAATTCACTGAGAACAGGTTTGGACAGAGAACACTTCCAGCCCAGCAGCTCACTGTGTATTTGCCACTAGAAGATGCTGCTTTGCAAAGTCTGAGGGTCCATTTCTTAGTACAAAAGCATCTTTTCCTTGCCCATTAATCCAAGTGAAGCAGCACATGAAGACAGATCCTCACATTCACTTACTGGTAAAAGCCATGTTTTCCATGGGAGCTGCAGGAGCTCAGTGCTTCTGAAGAGGTGGTCATCTCTATATTGTAGGTTCTATCCATAGGTTCTATATATAGGTTCCAGTTTTAACACAATCCATTAAAGGCTGAAGCCAAACGAACCTGAAGTCCTCACTTTTCTATCTGCACTCAACACTTACCACAGGTTAGCCGGATGGGACAACCAAGATAAGCCATAGGAATAATATTCTCTTCCCTTCCTCCTTGGAAACTCCCCCTAGGGACAGCACTGCAGTCTTGCCTAGCATCTGTCTGCTCAAAGTGCTTTCCAGATAGTCATTTAAATGCCTCTCATGCAGCATAATCCATCTCTGTCGTACCACCTTCTCAAGTGAGCAAGTGAAGGCGTTGACATACATTTAACAGCAGCTGAAAACCAGGGCAACAAACCCTGCTACCACCCCTACCTGCTCGTATCTCTTGGGAAGGGCTTCCTTCATAGCAGGGACAGCTAAATGGAGACACATCCATGCCTGACTAGTCACATTTCACATGCTGAATAGCTGAGGAACCTCAGCTCAGCTTCTGTGCTGCAACACATCGCCCGTAAATCACAGCCCTTAGCTCTGCCTGCCCAAAACACAACAGATTCAGTCTGAGAAGGGCAAGGGATAGAAGCTGCATTAACCACTCCTGACTATCACAGCATGAAGAGTGTAAATGCATTAAGGGTGTGGATCAGCAGCAGAGCTGATCTGTCTGCTTCACAGCACCAGCATCTTGCTTTCCTTTCCTCGGGCCATACTCTTCACAACACAGCTCCATCCCTTCCCTTGTGCTGGCTCAGGCATTGAGACTCATTTTGGGGCTCAAAAAGCAGCATTCCCTTTCCTTCTCTTTCTGGATCAGCCTTGTGATAGATTAGAGAGAACCTGAGGAGGTCCAAAGAGCTGATGCACAGTAATACACTGGGAGCAGGAGCACTTTGGAGGAGGAAAGCTGTCAGATCAGCTCACCCTATCTCTTGGATCTGCACCCTAAGGCACACAGAAGCAAACAACCTGCTGGAGGCCACACACCAAAGCACTGAAGGAAGCCAGGAGTCCCATTTTCCCTCACATATTCAGGGTAATCGAAATGTCAAGGCTGAAGCAAAGACATGAACAGCCCTTGCTTTGTTGTAAAGATCAATCCATCCATCCAACAACAACCTCTCAATCTTAACAGCTCCTTTTCCCCTCTCCAAAGCAGTGGGCAGGGAAGACTCCTCTGGTCCATTCACAGGGTGCAATATCTCTCCGTTTAGGCTGGCAGATGTGTCACACAACAATACCACACAAGTCATAGCGTTGCTTTCTTCCACCACTGAATGGGGAGCTTCATTCATCCAAAACAATGGCTTCCTTGTACCCTGGAGGCTCTTCTCCCTTCTACCCAGCTTCCCATTGCCACTGGAGCCCCATTCCAAGGCAGAAAAGCAGAACAGCAGGAAGAAGAACCATGGTGCTGACTGCTCATTCAGGCTGAGGACAGTGTGAGATGAACAGGTTGGCACTGGGGGTCTGAGCATCTCAAAGTCAGGATCTACCCAACCAGGAGCCAGAGTTCCTTCAGGATTCACACACCGTTTCTCACTCTGGCCTAAAACCAGCTCTAGCACAAAGAATCTGCACCCCCCAGGAAGGGGCTGGGGCAAAGGCAGTGCTGCAAAACTGGCATTCCCAGGGCCCATTAAAGACCATGGTGTGACTTCTTCAGGCTTACACAGCAGCCTCAGAAGTGTTAAGTGTCATGGTAGCATCACACACATGTTGCTTTGTTGGGCATGCAATACATAGCTCTGCCTTAGCTCCACATTTATCCCAGGGTTCAGTCCAGGTCTGGATTAGCTTCCAGTCCCTGGGTTAGCAGAGCCTGATCACTGAGGAGCAAACAGGTCAGGAGAAGAACTGAGCCATGGCTAAGAAACACAGTCTGCATAATGCTTGGCAGGGAAAAGGAAGGCAATTTGGGGGGTTTCTTTGGAAAAAGGTATAGCTTCTGCATATCCTTGTGATCCTACATGTGCATGGCACACCCCAGGGGCTCCCCACTTCTATAGTACATTGCATTCAACATGTTCTATAGACCTAATGGTATTTGGGCTCCCTAAGGATGTACCATGCGTTTGTTACAGAAGGTAAGGCCAAGACGTACTAAAATGATGTGCCTGGGGTCATAGGAAAAGCATTTGAAGAGGAAAATGACTTCCTTCAACTCCCTTTCACACATTTTTCCTAATCCCAGTGCCCTTAAGTTCCTATTATCTTTTTGCAAGAGGCGCTGTATCTGACTGTACAAAAGCTGTACCCTTTTATACAAGTCTTGCCCCCAAAACACAAGGGCACGGTGGCAGCGCACATTTGCCCTAAGCCATGCTAACCCATGGCCAGACACCAGGACCACAAAATGCAGTTATCAAGTCCTCGCAGCTTTTATGCAAGCAAGGAAACAGAGATAACAGCTATTTTCTGGTACTGGCCGTAAGCCAGGAACTGAGTACAGGATGCACCTCCTCAGATGAGACCACTCATCCAATATCCTTCTCCAAAACTAATGCCACTTCCCATTCACTCTTACATAAACATGTCTCCAGAGAATTATATACTGGGTATGTTATGTGTAAGCCTTGCAGATGAACTTTGAGCCTCCGCAGACCACGTCTGCTCTCTGGTCTCACATTAGCCAGGCTTCCCAACAGTTCAGCATAACAACTGAAGAACTGGGGTGCAGAAGGGCTTTCCCTTCACCACAGAAGGTACTCACCAAAAGAAACAGATTTCCCTGGCAGGGTGCTAACTGTGTTCACCTAATGGTGAACATATTTCAATATTCCATGGAAGCATGCTCCTGTTTTGCCAGTGAAAAGGAAGGGCACAGGCTGTGATGAACAGAATTCCTAATGCTGTCACCTGAGTATTGACACATAGTCTTGATCCTGCATTTCCAACTCCTGTAGGCTGGCCATCACCACACTTACTGTCTTCATCCCAAGAGGCTCCTATGTGGCTGGTTAACGGGAGACTGGGAGGCATGATCAAAACCAATGAGAGGATCCCTTCCCATCTCTCCCCCTCCACAGTGTGGCTGCTGGTGGTGATGGATGCAGCTGAGATGCTGATGTGCGACCATCCTGACCCGCACCTTTACCTTCGAAGCTGCCATGACGGCTGCCGTGGCTGCGACGTTCAGCCCCCGCTTCCCAAAGTGGACAAGGGCATCGTAGCTCCGGTCTTTGGCCTGGACAAGGCAGTCATCGATCTCCTGTCACAGCAAACAACAAAACAAGCAAACAATAAAGCAAAGGAAGGACAAGTTCAGAGCGTTCCAAGCCTTGAACTCTTGGCAGGGCCATGGCATCTTTTATGGAGGTAGATACCATCCATTTCCTTCACCTTGGCTGGAGACAAGCTCACAGCCAATGTTTGCAAAGACCAAAGGTTTGCAGGGGAGCAGTAACTCCCACTGCAGGCTTTAGGAACTCGTTATTCTGCAAATGGAAGGTTGGGATCCAAAGTTGGGATACACTTGCACAATGTGCAATGACCACCAATGGGTCCTGGAAACAAGACAGATACATCGACCTGGGTAGAATGGACCAGGAGCCATTTGCAATCTATGGACTCTAAAGACAAATTGTATTGCCCCATAAAGAACTGCATTATGACACTGCATCATGGACAGATGAAGCTGTACTGCTCTGCAGCCAGGAGTGGTGGTCTCAGAAGTATCTGAGTCATCTCTCCCATCACTGCAGTGGCCAGCTTCAACATGCCCATGGACTTGGTAGGTCCAGAGTTTCTGGATTTCATGCTGCTCAAGATACAGTGAAATGGTTATGAAAGTTCCTGCCCTCACCTTCCCCCCCTCAAGACACAGGGGTCTGGATGAGAATGGATGACAATGACTTCCAGTACTGAGGTGCTGGATGTGCTGGGTTAGTGGGGACTGGAGGCCATGAGAAGCTGCTGGCTGTGTAGTGATTCCCTCCCTGTTCCTAGTAGATAAGAAGTGGCAACCCAAAATGCACAAGCACTGCTTGTGAAAAGCAGAAGTTCCCAGGATGCAGAGAGACAGGGGATCAATCCCCACTGTCCTCCTTGGACAGGACTGAGGTACAACTGCTCATGCACTGCCTGTGGCTAAACAGAGCTTTCATTTCCATACTTGCCAATGCAGTAGTCTGCACGTTGGTACGTGACTGGTGGCTATTCTTGGCCCATGCATTCCCATGAGCCAAATGGCTCTGCCTGACAGTGTCCCATTCACAGCCACAGGAATCTCTTAGGCAGGCAAATGATCCAAGCTCTATTGCCTCCCCCCAAGACGTTTCTCAACCCAGGACCTGAGCATGCTGCATGCCTTACTTCAGCAGGCTATATAGTGCTTGCTAAGCCTGTTTGAGAGAGGCTGGGCTATTCGTTTTAGTGCTGCACAACGTTTTAGGCAGAGCTGCTAACAAAGTCAAGGAGCCCTGGCTGCCAGCCCCTGTTTCTCTGTTACACCCAGCCACAACGCAGCACTCAGCTATATCCAGCCAGTATGTGCAAAGCAGCTCAGGAGGTATTTTTATCCCCCTCGCTCCCAACGTCTCAAGTGCACAAAGATGAGCTAATACGTGTGAGTGTGCTGAACAGATGCCAGTATTGAAATACTCAACAAAGAACAAAACCACCAACCAAAGGAGATGGTCAAATGATAGGGGAAGAGAATCGGCAACTCCCAGTCCTCCAATGAAAATGAGTGACAGGAAGACTGGAGTAAACACTTTGCAGATCTGCTCCATCCAGGCACCTGTGATTACCTTTTCTTTTGAAGACAGTGTTGGATGAACAAATTTCCTGTACAGGAGGCTGGAGCCTTTTGTGTACGGAGACAGCAGCCAAGCTACAAAAGCTATTTTGAGTTCATAGTAGAATGGAAACCTAGGAGAAAAAGAGCTATTAGTGTCCACTCCCAATTTAACCACTGCCCTTGGAGATGCTCAGCACAGGAAGGGACTGGCCGGTCTGGTTAGGGAAGCCTTTGCTTACTGAGAAGTCCAAAGGCCAGAATATATCCACTCACCTTTACAGACATCTCAACTAGCATTTGGGTAAAGCTTTACTTGGGTATCAGGGCCATTATTTACTGGTCTGAAAGAGACTCTGCTGTGTGATAAGAGGACCTTTCTATATGCAAAGAGCACAGATGCTGCCCTCATAGCATCCCCAGTCATTATGAGGGAGCAAAGAGCAAACCAGCAAATCAATGTTGCATGGATATATTTATGTACCTTTCATCTCTCTGCCTTTTTGCTTTTAAGATAACTCTTATCTGCCTGAAACTGGAATACAAGAACCTTTGCTGCCCATGCAACATGCAATATAAAGGTGCAGATCCACACTGTGGCTTTCAGGTAGCATTGTAAAGTATACAGGAGACTAACTGCCAACAGGACAACCTTTAGCTGTAACATCAAGCCAAGGACTTCTTGGGATTAGATGATCCAGACTCTCTTTTGGAGGAGAAAGCCTAGAGCTCAAGGCTGGCCAGCAAACAGCATCCTCGTGATGAACCAATGCCACCCTTCACAGGCAAGCAAGAGCAACACAGAGACCCCATGATGGGTGTGCAGCTGGACCCAGACTGTGCACAGCACCATCACAGAGCCAGCTGGGCCATACAGCACCCAGGCCTGACCCAATGGGCCTCAGTGATGCTCTGCTCCAAGCATGGATGTGCCAGGTTGGTCTAACACCTCCCTGAGGATCTCTGCAGCATACTCGATTTCACAGGCTGGATGAGCCCTCTGTCATTCCTCCTGAGACCCACATAATACATCCTCCAAAAACAAAGCTCCAGAGGAACACAGTGGAGGTAGCTTTGCATGTAAATTAGACAGAGACACAATGATGTCTTTTATACCCTGTTAAACAGATCTGACATGTTGCCAAGTACCCCCAATTCCCTTTCTCTGAAGGACTCACTAGACGCATGCACTGCTATGCAGGAACAGGCTTTAGGTGAGGACCACGCATTACAGTTGGATTCTCATCCTGAAGCCTGCTCATCTCACCAGTTAACACTAGAAAGGCCTTACTAAAACCAGCAACAAACATTTCCAAACTTGAGCGTCCAAATTTAAGGAATTAAACTCTTCCCTGTGAGGGTGCTGAGGTGCTGGCACAGGGTGCCCAGAGAAGCTGTGGCTGCCCCATCCCTGGCAGTGTTCAAGGCCAGGTTGGACAGGGCTTGGAGCAAGATGCTCTAGTGGAAGGGGTCCCTGCCCATGGCCAGGGGGGTGGAACTGGATGAGCTTTAAGGTCCCTTCCAACACAAACCATGCTGTGATTCTATGATGCGAGTCTATGAAGCTGATAACTGGGTATGTATGCGCTCTTATCCTGACAGAGGTCACCAGGAATCTTCCCCTGGTACCAGAGCTCACATCAATACGGACTGTCACTGTCCTCCATCCAACCATAAACCTAACCAGGAACTGGCCTGGTTAGGCTGGAATGGCAAAACATCCCAGGAACAACCACTCATGCAGCAACCTACAGAGTCCTGTGCTGTAGGGCTGTATCTGCCTGGTCCCTACAGTCTGTGTATGTACTGTAGGACACAGGTAGGTAAGTCTAGAGCTACGCCTGTAGCTGAAGCTACTGTTGTTTATGTGATGATGTGTGCAAGCATCCAACTCAACAATCAGCCTCTCTGACATGCAGGGGACAACCTCCTGTAATGATTTCTCACTAATGAGATCTCACTGAGCAATTCCATCTTCTTTCTTGCTTTCCCTGTGGCAGCACTGAGGCAGGTAGCACGGCTCCTCCAGACAAAAAACCTCTATGCACCTGAAGCTGTGAACCCCATGCTCAGGAAGCAGTGCAACTTTTGTGCCCCTTTTTTACCTCACTTTTAAACGTCTCCATTCTCTTTCCACCTCATTGCAAAGACCCTCTCCCTCGTGGTGCTCACCAGCATAGAAAGATGTCCGTGAATGTCTCTGCTGTCGTGAAGAGTGCGAATATGATCCAGTACATCATCCATTTGACCTGATAGGCAAAACCAGCGTCAGTTCATTCTCCCCCAAGGGCCTTGAACTATCTCTTACAGGCACAAATGCACAGAGTAACTCCCACAGAAAAAAAAGAGTGTTCTGGTTCTTCCCACCTCCCCCTTGTGTGTTTAACAGTTACTATGGACTTGAAGATCGCGAAATGCCCCACCTCAGCACATAACACATCAGATTTCCACACAAACCCTTGGGAAGCAAGAGATTGTGGCCTTTAGGACTGGCCTTATGAAAAGAAGAGCAGTCTGGCTCTGTCCTCAGAGAGAACCACAGTCCTGTCACAGGGCATTTACAACCTCACTTGGCTCATCTTGACAAAGGTGAACACTAGGGTGTTGGCCAAGCTGCAATGAAGAAAAACTGTATTTACTTGCATAACATCTACAAGCAGGGGAAACCAGCCAGGGAGAGATAAAGAGGTAATTGCCCATCCCAGGATCCAGGGCTCGGGAGCACAATCAACTCACCCGGACTTATTCAATCAGTGTGCATCACTTGGTGGTGCCTCCTCACATCCACACTCTGAGCACACTGCAGTGACAAGGGCGAGTGAATCACCTTAAATCCCTTACCTGGGGCTTGGGCGAGAGCATTTCACCTCATACTGGCAGTAAAAGTATACATTGTGCTGTCAGTGCTCAACTATGGTAACTCCAGTGGGGTGTGCACTGCTTGATGGGTGATTTATGGATGGGCTCCTTTGTGGTGATAGCAACAGACACAGAAAGAGTGCTTGGGGGCTGTGACTTGGTCAGGGAAACTGTAGGATCTTGAGTAATTCAGGGATCTAGGGATTTTTGTCACTAAATGGCATTTAAAGCCCAGCTAAATTATTCTGATGAAAATCAGTCAGAGAACTGGACCCAAGTGTTACCTAAGGCTGGGATAACTGCAGTAGAATAAGGGAAAGAAGGCAGTACAAGGGGGATGCCTACACTGGGTGCTGCTCTGGGGAAGGAAGGATGGAGGTGGCAAAAAATCTGTATCTCACCAGCTCTGAAATGGCTTTCTCCATCCCCTCCCCATGCACTGGGGACAGTACTTGTAGTCTCTCTCCACTCCCTGCAGGTACTGCAATAATTCCCTGAGGAATTGTCACCATATAGAGCTATAGAACTGCTCTCCTGGGACTTAGTTATATGCATATTTGGTGTGATAGCAGTGGAATGGCCCTGTCAAATGCCCGAGAACATTGCCTTCCCAGGGCAGCTTCTGTCAGTGTTTTCCACATAACTCAAAGCCTCAGTTGGACATTCCTGCCAGCCAGACTTCAACACAAACCAAGACCTGGTGTGGAAGGGCTCGGGTCCGCCTCAAACACCATTTATCAAAATGGCTATTCCTAATCAAAGTAAACTGCAGCCATATTATCTGGAGCAAGAGATGAAGGTTCGTACTGGGTCAGTGTAAACTGCCACTGCTTCGGGTTATTTCATCAGACACTAATAGAGGTGCTGCCACAACTGAGAAATGACTGTAAGTGCAGAGCAGGTCTCACACTTGGGTCATGACCCCATGTGTCCGGTGGGAGTTCTTCATTTGCAATTGAATTCCCAACAGGAATTGGACCCTTCAGCAAAATACTTTCCAGAAAGGGGCTATGGAAACATTAAGTATCAGTGGCAGACACCGTTTGGGGATGCCAGCACACGTCTCCATCCTTTCCAAGCAGAGGATGTGCAAACCTTGAGCAGCAAAGCTGTGCAAGGGCTGCAGGGACATTTTGCTGTAGGTATCTGATGTGTTCTGCCACACTTAATGATTCTCAGAACATCCCAACCATTAACTGAAGGAGGGTATTGAAAGAAAGGGAAAATCTCAGCAGGCACAGTGAGCCCCTGTTTGAGCTGGTGCAAGGACTTAAAGGGATACCCATCTGTGGTGTTAGCCAGAGGAGAAAACGGGCTTGTTATCCTTGGGATCTTGAGAGGATGGAAGAGTCGAGATCTGGAGGCTGAGCCAGGTTCAGTGCAACAGAACTCAGGTTGTGAGGGGCACTACAAGTCCTACAGGAGACCAACAGCATCAAGGCGGGTTTGATTCTCCCACATCGCACTTTCCCTTGGTGGCCCCATATGCCTTTAGAAACTGGGCCCAGGGAAGATCTTTCAGCCAGAGGATGAGGCAGCACAACCAGATCTGCCTGTAAATAGGTCACTCCACACAGAAGGATGTTTCCATCTGAGGATTCAGTCCTATGTGCTTCAAGTTTCCTCCTCTGATCCTTGCTCTGAATAAGCAGCTCAAGCTTCAAGGCTTTTTGAAAAGGCTTTGATTTATGCTGCTCTTCAGAAACAAAAGGAAAACAGGCAAAGCTCTGCGTGCCAAACACCTTTTAAGTTGACCATATTTAGCTCACAACCCCATAGAAACAGCATACATTTGTCAAAGAGCACATCAACTCAGCAGAGGAGCCAGAAGCACAAACCCAGGTCTCCTTATTTGAGACTTGTGCCAGTCCATCTTCAGGCCACTCTTCCCCTTGCACTGGTTTATGAGCTTTCCCAGTATACAGGCAACACCTTCACAAAGTGGTGAGGAAGAAAACAAACCCTGCAGCACAGCCCCAAACCTCATTACTCACATATTCTTTGATGTCCTTTGATTTCACGGCTTTGTAGGAATAATACGCGGGGTAAAGAGTGCCAAATATAAGCCTGGAAAAAACCAAACAACAAATGGGTTAGATTGATTTCCTGTCTCAGGGAAACCTTTAATTTCTTTTTCCTGTCTGTTAAATGTGTTTGTTGCACTGTAAGAAGTGCGAGGATTTGATTCAAGCTTGAGTGCACCAAATACAGTACAGGGATGATTTTGCACCACTAAATCCAGAGAAACTATTGCCAGAGACATGAATGAAGAGCAGGGATTCAGGCTGACTCCCCTTTTGCAATGGTTTCCATACCTGTACCTTAGTATTACATACAAAACAAAACATCCAACCCCAAAGCAAACCAAGAAAGACCACGGACCTCCTGTGATTTCCAAACAGCCTCCTGTGAAACCAGGAATACAGGAGTTCCTAACGAGAACCATCTCCCTACATTCCCTTCCACCTCTGTTCAATACCCTGAAGAACTGGCAAACACAGTAAAGCAGGATCCAAGTTCTGCTGGCACAAGAGGTGTGAATGCTGGGGCCTTATCTCTTAGCAGAGGGATTGGACTAGATGATCTCCAAAGGTCCCTTCCAACCCTAATGGTTCTGTGATTAAATCTGCTGCAGGGAAAAGCCCTGCCCTGTTTGGTAAAGTCAATTCGGGCTCAAAGGAGGAGAATCTGCCCACCAAGATGTGCCAATAGGCCCAAAAATGCCAGCTTTCCTGTTCTTTCGGTTTCCTTTCATTTCCAAGTCTGAAAGGGATGCTGCCAGCTTCAAGAGTTCATGTAAGAAAGGAACAGGGATCTGTAAGTTAAAAATAGCACTACTGAGAAGAGAACACTGGGAGGTTTTCTACACCAACTCCTCTCTGCATCACTGCCTAAATGCTTATTCACTTGGATTATTCTGGACATGAGCATAGGCTTGTCAAAACCACTCTGCCCTGCCCAGGGTTCACTCACTTTTATTCAATGCAGCAGGATGATGCTGCAAAGTCTAAATGTAATAGATTGCAGGGGAATGTTTATTGGCTCCCAACCTTCCCATGGAAGCTTCTGCTTTAAGCTCATACATCTGGATTTGCAGCTCTTGGGAATGGAAACAATCAATGTTTCAATCCCTAATGGTGGAGCCTCATGGACCCGCAGTCATCTTTTGCATCCTGCCAGTAGCAATTGCATGCTGTGGGACTCATAATTACAGCTGAGTCCATTATGTGCCTAAGACATTAAATATTAACACTCCGGGCTATGGTGTACCTCGTGCTTCCCGGAGCTGGAGAAGGGATTTGTGGAAGACTGGGGTGAGCCAGCACACATCCTGATTTCCATAGCAGTGACCTGTGCTCCATCATGCTTACTGTAGCATAGCTTAGAGAACCTGAGGCACAATGCAGACTGCAGCAAAGCACCTACTGAGTGAGGAGAGACGGTGTTTTACAGAGGCTTCACGCTGGCTTCAAAAAGCTTTGCTGGAAGCAGGCAGCTCTGAACCCATTTCACTGTGCTGTATGCAAGGATGAGATCCAAACGCTCAGATTCTGGGAAGCCAAGAGCATTTTTGTCCCTTGCTGTATCTTAACAGCGACACTGGTGAAGGCAAGGGAGAACAGAGAGACAATAGCTTGATCCTGTTCTCACCGAAGCTATTAACAAATATCCCTAACAAATATAGGAGCAGGACCTAACCCAAAGGAGGCAGAGCTCACAAAAGGAAGAAGGCTCTATAATATTCAGCAATCACACGAATAACATTTTTGGCTCTCCTTATAAGTACCGCGTTGCTGTCCTTCCTCCTTGGCTTGGCTGCTATCTCACGCTTTTATTTCCTGCAAAGAGTCACCGAGTGATTGATATTCATTTCCTCAGTTTGTTCTGGTAACAGAAAGCAACTGGATCCTGAAGGAGCAAAGAGTTTACAGGCTCCCTGGAAAAGAAGTAGTTGCAGACAATAAATGCTTGGAACAGAACCCGGTGAGGGAATGAAACTGCACAGTGATTTTGCGTTTGCGGAGCAAGGGGCAGTAAATAAGGTGATGTGCTCTCCCTAAATTGGAGATTGAGGGTTTCACTCATCTGCCTTGCAGTGTGTTGTGTGCATATATGGACATTTATTACTGCTGTGCTTTACCACACTGAACACAGTTCAAGGAATGCTGGATTCCAGTCTTGTCACTGCTGAGGCTTATTATGTGGCCTGAAGTCCCTTAACCTCTGGGTACTCCCTACAAATGAAAGACACAAGATGTTTAGGCACTTCTGTAAAGCATTTTCAGGGGCTGGAGGCAAATACCTGCACATAGGTCTGTTCCAAAAGGCCTCCTGAAGTTACTGTCTTGCATACAATTGATTTAATTCAAATATCCATCTCAATCCTGTATCTCTTCCTACAGTTCCTGTCCCCTGTGAAAACAATGCTTCTCTCTTCCCCCTCATCCAAGTGTCCTATGTAATCAGTTCCCATTGATTCCTGCCTTCCTTCATCCCCATTGCCAATCATTCCCTCTGCACGCAATACACAAACCCAAGGCTGATTCTCTGCCCAAGCCACTAAGCCATTCCTTGTCTAAGTCTCCTTCCCAGCCTCTTTCGTGTAGACTCTGCCCCACCACAGAATCACAGAATGGTTTGGGTTGGAAAGGACCCTAAAATCATCCAGTTCCAGCCCCATGGAGATCTGCATCCGTTATAATGGCCTCGCAAAAGGACAAAACAGCAGCTGGAGAGAAATCACTGAGGAGTCAACTAATTGTGCAAGAGGAGGCAAACATCTAAGTAAAAGGTTAGTCTGCCTAAAGAACAGGATAAGGATTAGTGCTGACAATCTTCTAATCCTATTAGGCACAGCAGTAATCCCCAATCTGGACCACAGTGTGTGCTTCTGGTCACTGCTTGTCAAAAGGGACACAGCAGAGGCAGAAGGGGAAGGGAGAAGGGCACCAGGGAAGGTCTGTAAGAGTGACTGGAAGTGCTGCAGTTGCTTCTTTGCAGCAAGGAAATAACTGAGGTGATCTGCTCCTGATGCAGTGTAAGGGGATGTTCAACTGAATCGGGAGAACCAAGTCATAAAGGAGGGGAGAAATCCTTTCTACCACCAGGAGTTAATCTGTGGGACTGACCAACGCTATTCATCTATGTAAGTTCATTACATAGGATTTGGAGGTTGGGTTTGGTTTTCACTATTCAAGTTCATCACTGAATGAGACAGGAAAGGACAAAGCTTCCCATATTGTGGGGTTTCCTGCTTATCAGGGGAACTATTAAAGCAACCAAACTCTTGGCTCTTCTTCAGGGATCCCTGTTGTATTCCAAGGGAGCAGCTGCACCATCACCAAACCCCCTCCTGTCTCTACTTAACCGGTACAGCTGCAGCCAGCCTTGACTATTGCATCCCTCTATTCCTTCTCCAGATCTGCTGGTGCATGATCTGACCATCACAGAGCACAGGCTAACCCAGATCAGAGTGGTTTGGGTTGGAAAGGACCTTAAAGCTCATCCAGTTCCAACCCCTGCCACGGGCAGGGACACCTTCCACTAGAGCAGCTTGCTCCAAGCCCCTGTGTCCAACCTGCCCTTGAACACTGCCAGGGATGGGGCAGCCACAGCTTCTCTGGGCACCCTGTGCCAGCGCCTCAGCACCCTCACAGGGAAGAGCTTCTGCCTAAGAGCTCATCTCAGTCTCCCCTCTGGCAGGTTAAAGCCATTCCCCTTGGCCTTTCCCTACAGGCCCTTGTCCAAAGCCCCTCTCCAGGTTTCCTGTAGCCCCTTTGGGCACTGGAGATGTTCTAAGGTCTCCCCCTTAAGGAGCCTTCTCTTCTCCAGGCTGAACAAACCCAACATGACACTATTCCTATCAGTATCTAGTTTCTAGCCTGAGGATCAGCATCAGAGCTGCCACCAGGACCTGGGAGGGCCCCATTTGACATCTTGAGTCCTGATGATTCGGTGATGCTCTTTTCCTCATGAGAGCCCTGGTCCTACACTCACTTCCCTGTAAAACTCACTCCCACATTCCATACAGCAGCCACGGAAACAAATGAAGGACTCTCAGCGGTTCTCAGGACTCAGGTTACCTCCAGAAGTGCACATCCATTCTCTTGAGTATTTTTAACCACACAGGTGCTTTCTGGCTGGTAATCCACTGTTCCAAACGTGCCGACCACATCCCAAACCGTCCAAGTTCTGCTCATGTAGTTACCAAGCCACCAGCAGTGTTTGGGCTGCCCAAATATCACAGTACCACGACACGAACAGAACAGCCCTTGTTTTGCCCATCAATAAACTAATATTTCCGTATCATTGGCACACAGCAGCCAAGATGGCAAATTCCTGCTCACAGGGATGGACACATTTAGGAATCACTGAAATATTGCCTATTTCCTCAACATGTTCACTGGCTATCGCGTGCTTGTTGCGCACGGAGCAGCAGCTGAGCTGTCACCATGCCAGCATTCCTCACTGAAACCACCAAGGAGGGTGCCAATAGGTTTGCATTCCTTATCAGCAATCCTAATTAATGCTCACACAGTGCCACAGATTAAATATAAACAGCACTTATCTGCACCAAAGGCTCCCAGTTTAAAGCCAGCAGCTGGGATGGGGAAAGAAGCAGTGCACGTGGTCAGGGATAGGGTTAACGTGAGCCCTTTGACACGTCAAATGCCTGATATCCAAGAAGGGAATGGGGTGGAGGAAGCACCAGCTGCAGTGGGGGCTCCAGGTTGCTATTCCCTGGGGATGGCTCCTGAGGATTCTTTGTGGTCATTTTGCATCAGAGTAGGTCCTGCTATTTAGGATTTGCCTGTTCACCCTCAGGATGACGGCTGACACCATCCCCACGCTGGGGCCCAGGAGATGTGGGTACCCACCATGCCAGCCTGATGCACTGAGGGTACCAACAGCACATGGTGCCTCAGTGGCAAAAACACCCCCCAAGGAAGGTGCTGGGTCCTGACACCCTCAGGACAGACCAGGCTACAGAAGCAAACTGAACACTTGGTCTGGGTTAACGTGACCTAATGGCTGGCAAATCCTGATCACTGCTCTTGGGGTAACTG